GACAGGAAGGTAAATGGAAAATGAAGTGTGGAAAGAAGGAAGGGATGAAATAAGGAGGAAGGAGGGAAGCAGAGTCTGTTGTGCTTTTAACGCCTAATAAGAGAGCACCGTGGCCAGAGTGCTCCAATCCAAGAAGAGGAACGGCAGAAATGATTTCGGTATAAAAACTTTCCTATGGCCTTATCTTAGCAAGGATTATGGTTGGTTCATTAGAGTCACCCCCCCGTCCCCTGTTTTTGCATTTCCAAAGCGACTGTACGATAAGCTAATTACTTGGCGGCAGCTCTTAAAGCTGAAAAGTGCGCCTGGAGAACTAGTACCATCCCTTCAGAGGCCGAGCATCACTTTCATAACGCTGCCCGGGAGGACGAGCTGGAAATTCCTCTCTCTTCCACACGAGGGCACTCTCTTCAAGGGTACCACACTAGCCTGAGAGTCCGGTGATGAACTTACTGGCATGTCGGCGTGTGTACTTTTCTTCAGACTTCGATCATCTCTGAATAAATCCCAACCGTGAGATACTGAGGAGGAATTGGGTACCTGTGACATACACTTCCGGTGTCATCCATTTGACACTTTGTCATCTTATGAGATTACCCTGTCAGTCCTTGAGCCCAGTACTTAAACTGTAATGTACATAGGAGATCTTGTTAAAAATGCAGATCTGATGGGAGTCCGTCTGGGTTGGAGCCTGAGATAGGCACTTCTAACAAGTTCCTGGGTGAGGCTGGTGGGCCGATTGGAGGGTCAGATTTTGAGCAGTAACACTGTAGACAGGTAGATTATAAACTATTTTTGGAAGTAACAGTCAGGTGACTTAATATGACAATTGTAACAGTAATACTGAGTATCACTCAGTATTTGGCACATGTGCTTGGCGTTGTTCTAAGCACCGTACCTGTATTAACTCATATTAGGGCAGCTTTGTGAGTTAGATAGTGCTATTGTTTCTAGTTTAGTTTATTTTCCTTTTGGTGGCTTGATTTAAATTTTAAATTTGTAGAAGATTAACATTGATCCCCAAAGTGAAAGCTATACAAATGTAGTCAGAGAAATGTCTTCCCTCCTTTGTTCCAGTCTACCCTGTCCCCCAGGAGTAAACAACTTCATGGTTTCCTGGCTTATTCTTCCTGGTTTCTCATCACAAAGCTGGGCAGATACAGGTATGTGTTCTAGTTTCCTTTCTCAAACAATGATGACTGTAAATGCTCTTTTTTCCTCAGCTTTTTTTCATGTCTCAATATCTCTAGAAATCACTGTATATCACTTCACAGAGATTTTCATTCATTCTTTTTAAGTTATATAATACTTCATTGTGTCTATGTACCACACTGTGTTCACTCACTCACCTATGTTTGCATATTTATGTAGTTTCCAATATCTTATAGTTACAAATATTTTATTACAGATAGGAAATTTAGAGGAAGACCAAATAATTAACTTCGAATCACCTAAAATATGAATGTGAAAGAAATTACATTAGAATTAGTAAGGATTGACTTTCTTCTTTAATGTTTAAGGGAGTTGTTTAGTTTTTTTAAGATAATTGTAGAGGTGGTCAAAAGTGCCTCAGTTATTCACAGCATGTCTGTTTTCTATGGATAGTAATATTCAGGAATTTCTGTAATAATTTTGGTGTTAGTTTGCTGTCTTTAGATTTACTGAGGCAATATTTCTCACACACAGTTTCTTTTTATTATTCATATGTATTTCCACAAATTATTCTACCAGTATTCTCTCCATAAAAAATTACGTTTCCAGACTTAACTTCTCTTTCTCTGCTGTATTGGCATGGTTTCTAGACAGTGGATCCAGAGGCTGGAATAAGGTAATGAGGCCACTGGAGAGAGGCAGACTTTCCCACTGTCATTGCATGGTCTCCTACATCTATAAAAAGAGCATCCATTTCCATCCATGTTGGATTTTAAAAATACTGTAAAAATTCATTTATAATAAGCACCCAAAGGACTAAATGGAAGATACAGTAATGATGACAAGACTTGTCTCACCTCTGAACTGGAATTCTTGCACTATCAGTTTTTTTTTTTTCCCTTCTGAACAATAAATAAATGCATAGTTACTTTTTGTATTTACTACTGTATTTTGTATGTGAAGCAGTTTGTAGTTTCTCTGGAGAAGTGTGAATCCTTAGCAAAATTCTTGTCAGAAACTTAAAATTATTCCTCAGCTGTTGTCCCAAATCTACCTATTAATTCTAATCTTCCAGCTTCTTTCCTTAAGTTACTGCAGCCCCTCTCCACACCTTGGTCAGAGTGGACTTATCCCAGTGCCTCCTGGGAAAAGCTGAATATTGTTAGTTTGAGCAAATGCTTGCTTGCTTCCCTCCCTCCTGATGCTGCCAACAACACTGGCCCCTGGCATCTCTCCACACTGTTCCCCAGGTGCCCCTCCTCAAATTCAAATAAGCTGCGACTCCCCTAAGGAGGCAAGCTGCTTCCCATCTTTGGTTTTTGCACATGCTGCTTTATTCTTAGAATATATTTCCCCATTGAATTTGCCTGACAAAACCTATTTATTATTTTCTCTTTTTTTGGCCATGTTTTACAGCTTGCAGGATATTAGTTCCCTGACCAGGGATTGAACCCAGGCCCCTTGCAGTGTAGGCTCCAAGTCCTAGCCACTGGACTGCCAGGAAATTCCCTATTCTTTTTTTTGGTGTGTGTGTGATAGTATTTAGATCCTCACTTGAGAACAGAAATATGACAAGCCCATTTCTACACATAACTCACTCAAGCCTTAACACTGTATTATATTTTATTTTGGCTTTTAAAGAAATGAAATATTTTAGACACAAAGCCTTCCACATATCCCACTCTGATCTTATTTCCTCATCTGAGGTAACTGCAATTATGAATTTGTATGTACCAGTACCACACATGCTTTTATATTTTTGCCATTTATGCATGTGTTCATATGCAACATGTGGTATTTGTTAGTAAATTTTAAGATCCAATGAATGGCATTAAACCATATCTATAATTTTGCAACTTTTGTTGTTATCATTAATAGGTGTACTGTTTACCCATTTTCTTCACAATATTCTATTATGAAAATAAATCACAATTTATTCATTCTCTTGATGTACATTTGACTGCTTCCAATTATTTGCAATTACAAATAATGCTGTTGTGAACATTCTTATACACATTTCTTTGTGTATATATGTGAGTTTCACTGCGGTAAATACCTAGAAGTAATTGGGTCATGCTGTATACACAAATGTAGTTTTTACTGATATTGTAACATATTCATTGTTACTGATATTAAAGTGCTCTCTGCAAAGATTTGTATTAACTGTATTTTCTTATTTTCAATATTCTTGATGTCCTAGCATCAGGGAACTGGCTGAAGAATACAATTTGCTGTCAAAATATCAACCAAAAAACACTAAAATGAATGGATGCATGTTTTAAGTCATCTCCCATAATTCTTTCTTTAACCTTGGACCATAAGGAAGAAAGTTTGGGGAATTTTAAAATACATTTTTTTTTTTAGGTAAAAGGTAAAATACAAGTGATATTGAATATATTTAAGATTAGATTGGAGTGTAGTTTACATTAAAATGTACAGCAAATAAGAAACAACTGTGTAGAAATCATGGAAACTTGGTCATAAAAATATTTTTATCTGTTACTAAACTTTGTTTCCTTCAGCAAGATAAGTCAGTTGAGTCCACACTAGTTGAATTCCTACTTGAGCTATGTTTTCAAATTAAATAAATCAACAGACGTAAGACCCAACGTATGCTATTAAACTTTGAGATGAATTGGTGGGGAGTTCAAATCCTGTTCTGAGGGTATGAGAGCATTGTACATATCTTATCTTAGTCAGGGGATAGGTCTATGGCACACATAAATTACTTGCAAAGATAAGGCTTTGGGAAAAATTCAACCTCTTGTACCAGTGAAAAAAATAGAACAGACTTGTGGACTCTGGGAGAAGGCGAGGGTGGGATGTTTCAAGAGAACAGCATTGAAACATGTATATTATCTAGGGTGAAACAGATCACCAGCCCAGGTTGGATACATGAGACAAGTGCTCGGACCTGGTGCACTGGGAAGACCCAGAGGGATCGGGCGGAGAGGGAGGTGGGAGGGGGGACTGGGATGGGGAATACATGTAAATCCATGGCTAATTCATTTCAATGTATGACAAAAACTACTGTAATGATGTAAAGTAATTAGCCTCCAACTAATAAAAATAAATGGGAAAAAAAAAATCAAACAAAATACTACCAAATGGTGAACCATCATTTGACAATTTGTGAACAAAGAAGAATCAACAATTAAGAACAATAGTTATAAATGTTTATGGACCACATATGCACCAAATTATACAAAGTCTCATGTGTTACATTAAGTAGAAAAAAGGCCTTTATATCTTCAAGGAAATGATTCACAATGGATTTGATACAAGACTCAGAATAAAATTTAACTAAACTCAGCAAGATCATCCCTTATTGTTTCCCTGTTCAATGAGAAATACTGCCATTCAATGCTTTCTTACCTAGATATATGTATTTTTAACCCTCTGGAAAACCAACAAACACAACAAAATTAGCATATTTATTATTTTGTATATGTTAAAAACAAGGAAAATATCTGTCAGCATTGTTAATCCTCAACACTTAGCACACAGTGCCTGTCACATAACAAGCACTCAATAGATATTTGCTGGATGAATGCATGAGTACTTATGAGTTAGGCATTATGTCAGCAGCTAACAAAATTCTCAGGAGTTAAATAATTTTCAGAATTCTTTACTGACTTTTCTTGGCGTGACTGCAGAGCGAATAATAGGAAAAAACCAAATGGCTACATTGAAAAGCGTGGCTTCATAATGGCTATTATCAACGACAAAACAATAAAAAACTGGTAAATATATTTGACACCGTTCTTTCCAAACCTGCCCAGACTTACAAATCCTACACACAAACAGCAAATAAAGACACAAACAGGAAATAACAAATGAACTTCAAGTGGTTTTTGAACATAATTTTTATTTAAGCATGGACTTTTAGCTTGGTTCACCCTAGAGTGCAACCTTTTTGTTATGTTAATAGAGAGTTCAGGGCTACAGGGCCATTATAACATTGCTGGTGTTGGTACAACTTCATCAGAAGGTATGAATATGACCCGCAGGAAAAACAATCCACAAAGAGAACACAATGAAAACATCCACTGTTTTACAAATCACTCTGTTATCACAGACACAAAATGGCACTTACTGTTAGTAAATCAGCCACGGAACACTTTAAAAGTATCTTTTAGACAAGGAAATGGAAACTCCTTTGTGGGAGATAGGGTTTTCATCCACAATTTTTTTAAGTAGAAAATATTTCAAGGTCAAGCATTTTTCTTATCCACAAACAGCGCTAAACCAACATACATTTCGAGGGGTATATTAAAGGAGATACAATATCTTTACAGCTATCTTCTTGAGTAGGTATTTCAATGAATTTTCTGTAGAATATAAGTAGCCTGAAATTCAGCAGCAAAAAATATTGCAACATAATAAGTAAATACAGTGTCAATGTGTTATATTGTAGAAGAGAATACATAAAGAACCAACAATGATAATTTAATCATATAAAACATGATACATAGCTGAAATACAGTCCACTTAAATAGCTTTGTGACCAAGAATGTTAAATACTGTACTAAATGCCATTTTAAACATAAAATCTCTTAAACTTTTGTGCTTAAACTTTTTTTTTCTGTTAAACTATTTCTTATTTTCAATACTGCTACTGTAACTGATATTACAACAGATCACAATTTGCACGGATACATCAACATGAAGACATTTACTTATGAGAAATAAGTCACTTGTCATTAGTTCACAGTGTGGGAAAGTGGTGTACACTTGGTCTTGAGAAGGGCTTTCAGTTAATCACTAAGTCCTTCACAGAAATTTCCTGATATCAGATGCAGTGCGAGATTTGAAAGAATGCGAAACAACACATCACATATTGGAAAGAAAAATAAACTTTTTGATTCTTCATGGGTATCGTCTAAGTGACCTTCGTCTTCTGTTGTAGAAGTGCCTGAGCCCATGTTGTCGTGAAAAATTCATCATGTAATTTTGTTTGCGAGTGCTGTTAAAATCAGAAAGGACAGAAGCAGGGAGGGAAAAAAGAAAAGAGCATGTAAGTTCCATCACTGAAAGCACAATCTAGTCTATGTCCTAAGTTACCCTGCTATTTTTTGGAAAATTCTCAGGGTTTATAGGCCATGCTAACATTACCACCCTAGGACAGAAGAACTAAAGGTTGACACCTGCATTTACTGCCTTTGGCCTCTTTTCATGAGTGAGCTCTTAACCAGAACAAATGGTAACTTCTCTTGATGAATTGCAAAAGTGGACTGCAACTGTTTTTTGGATTTTTAATTTTATTCTTGAACTCTTTCTGAAAAGGCTGACTTGACTTGAGATAAAGTGTGTACTATACCTATTACCTTATTTACATACATCTTTAACAAGTAGGAAGGACAGTTTGATTCTTCCAGCAACCATTGCCATTTAAAGCTTGAGAAACAAAAACAAAGGAAAAACAAACTTCTTATTTGAATCAGCTTGATCTTCCTGTTTCCTGAGGTCTCAGGGGCAAAATGAAGCAATTTTTTTTCTCAGAATATCAGATTTTGCTGCTTTCCTCAAACAGTAAGCAGCTGAGGTCATATTCTATGAACATGGCCTTATGAAGGAGATACCCTACTGAAAAAAAGATCATAAAATACTAAGAAAGTGTAAGTGAAAGTATAGATGTAAATCTATGTGCACACATTCCCCTTATGTATGTACACACACATTCATACATATGTACTCAAGGTCAAGCTGATAAAAATACTGAAAATGAACTTTAGGAACCTGTAAAAATATGCATGATACTGGCAGAGACAGCTGTTAAAGTTTTGATATGGAAAATGTAATTTAAGAAGGATCCTTATCCATAAGATCAGTGAAAAGAATCAGACTCCTTTCACACACGCACTGGAGTGACAACATGTTTCTATATAGCATCAAAATGTGTTTTTTAAGAGTGAGCCTTTTAGTACTTTCCAAATTCACTGAGTCTCTTGAATGCTGTCTTGTCTTAAAGTCTTTTCTTCCTTACTTGTGTGCTCAGTTATGTCCGATTCTTTGCTACCCCGTGAATTGTAGCCTGCCAGGGTCCTCTGTCCATGGAATTTTACAGGCAGGAATACTGGAGTGGGTTGCCATTTCCTCCTCCAGAGGATCTGCCTGACTCAGGGATCGAACCCTCATCTCCTGTTTCTCCTGAATTGCAGGCGGATTCTTTACCACTGCACCACCTAAAACGTGCATGGAGCAGGATAATGTCATGGGATGTGATTTCACCATGAAGGTAAATATGATATGAATTTGCATTGGGTTACAGAGGAAGGAAAGAGTAATTTTGCACTGAGCTGTGTATTCTTCTGCTCAACAGACCAGATGTAAAATATGTAAAATAAAATATGCAAAGATGTAAAATATGAAAGATGTAAAATGATTCTGTTTTACCTAGATATTATACTGACATTTGTAATATACAGAAACCTTTAAAATGAGGATTTTGTAGATGTTAGATCATTAGAAAATAAAAGTTATAATAAAATCAAAGAAAAATATATAAAGTGAATTTTATCAGATATAGTTAATCAAAAAGCAGTAGCATTTGTGCTAAAACTTGATAAAAAGACATTGCACTGATCTATAATTTACAAAATAAAATGATAATAACTTGCACCCTGGATTTCTATCCTATGAACATCTTAGAAATTATAGAATGGAAACAAAATATACTCTGAAGACATTATAGAGAAAAAGAAAAAAAAATCAGGTTGTGTTTTCAGATAGCTTGATTGTCTTCCCCATTCCCTTGATGTGTTAATATTATATGTATCAATCAAGCTGACCAGTTTCAATGTCACAGTTGAAGGAGGAAATGAATGTATCCATTATTTATTAGTGGTGAGAAGTACTACTTGCTGCCTATGTAAAGTCTAGTTATAAAAAATGAACAACAACCTAATGATTGAACTAATCAAGTGTCAGGAGAAAGAATCCTCTCACCTCTTTAGTCACAGGTTAGCCTGGAACTAGCTATCTTCCTGCCAGCATCCTAGGACACTTCGTGTGTGCTCTTTCCCTGAATTTACCTGAGCTATTATATTGCAGTGGTCCCCTAAGCTAGCCTCCTCATCCTTTCTGCTTATGAAAGAAATACCACTGAAGAGAAACCATAAATACCAAGAAAGTATCACTGAATGTGTAATTGCAAAGAAATTTGTGTAATGTGCAAAGAAAGAAAGAAAAGCTGCTCAGTCATGTCCGACTCTTTGCAACCCCATGGACTGTAGCCTACCAGGCTCTTCCATCCATGGGATTTTCCAGGCAAGAGTACTGGAGTGGGTTGCCATTTCCTTCTCCAGGGGATCTTCCTGGTCCAGGGATCAAACCCGGGTCTCCTGCATTGTAGGCAGATGCTTTACCATCTGAGCTACCAGGGAAGTCCAGCAAACATTGATTTAACCTCGTTAAAAAGGATTCCTAATCCTTTTATCTAAGTCAACTTTGCCAGCTATTTTAAGTCCTCCACACATTTCATTTTACTTTTTTTTTTCCAAGTCCTTTCATCTATTATTCTTTACAGACATCTCTATTCAAACTCACCTTGAGTCCCTTCCACCTGCCTTACTGGATAATCTTCAACCCCGCTTCCTAAATTTCTACTTATTTTTCAAGTATCACTTTTTAAAAAAAATTTTACTCACCCCTGCCAGTAGGATTCCCCCCCTACTTTGAATCCTCATCCTGCTCCTTTTCTGCTTTGCATGGAGATGACTCATGTTCCTATCTTGGCTGCCCCTGACTAAACTCTGGGCGTAGCAGCTGTGCCCCACTCGCCCCACCCCTGCACCGTAGCATTGAGCCTTCTGCCTGACCCCTGAGTGGTCTTGGCATGGTTGTTGAGCTTTTGGTGACTTACTGATTGGACTCCTGTTGTAAATCATTACTCTTTAACTATAAGGAATAATTGCAAAGTTAAAGCAATGAAAATTATTCTGTTGTAAACACATTTAAAGATATAAGGTACTCAAAGAAAATTTAAAATAGTTAAAATATCTTACATGAAAAAAAAGATAATCTCAGAACACTTAGGATATTCAGTTATCTCAATGCAATCCAGATTGATGGGAAAGTGACCTCAATATATGGGAACACAGGAACATTTACTTGAACAAAAGTTGATGTGCATGTGTGGTTTCAAAGCAACTTCTCCACGTAACTACTTATTATGGACTGACTTAAATTCTACATTTTTATGTTGTTTGTTGTTTAGTTGCTAACTCGTGTCCAACTCTGTGACCTCATGGACTGTGTAACCCTCCAGGCTCCTCTATCCACGGGATTTTCCAGGCAGGAATACTAGAGTGAGTTGCCATTCCCTTCTCCAGGAGATCTTTCCGACCCAGGGATCCCACCCATGTCTCCTGCATTGCAAATGGGTTCTTTACAGCTGGGCCATCAGGGAAGCCTGCTTCATTTTTTATGAGTGAGAAAATAAATATTAACAGGTTGCAGATCTTTAATACCTTAAGAATAGATCCAGCTTGGGAGCTTATATTTACTTTTGGAGGTATTTTGATTCATTGAATATCCTTTAATTTTGAATAAATTTATATATCCATAACATATCTTTAGATCCCTGTGAATGTTGATATGCATTCAGCATTTGCAATAGATGTTTGTTATAGATGCCTAGTGTTTTGTGGTCACATTCGAAATGGCCACATTTTCAAAGCACACTGGAAAAATTTTGTTAGGTAAAACATAAGTATCTCTGGTGACAGGATGATGGAATCTAACAAAAGTAGGTTTTTTTCCAGTTCATAAGCTTTTGAAAATAAAGCATCATGGGAAGCTATACCAAAGTGCTGCCTGCTTCAAGGACCATTAATAAACTCACATGGTTGCTAAACACTTGTGGCTTCTAGAGTATCTAATTTATGGGACTGGACATTAGGAGAATTTTAAACCAGTTTAAATATGTCATGCTTATTAAGTCTTTTTTTTTCTTTTTTGTGGAGCAGATCTGGGAGCCTATTTTTGTTTTTGATACATATAGATGTATAGTTATAGATAAACTAGTTATAAACTTATAACCAAAATAATTATAGGTGTGATGGAATTTTAAGGATTTATTTCTTCACTGCAATAATATTAATACGAGAAACTATTTTATTACAATTCCAATGAAAGCAGGTAATATTCATTCCAAGGCATATCAACTATGGTTCTTGACTTATCAATTTGCTTGACTGAATAGAACTAGGTTCATTTAAAAATTTCTATTTTGAGGAAGCCACTGAAAGAAGGGAGAGTGATCAATGATTTCTTGGAAATGCTAACTTAAATTTCCATTATTGCTGCAGGAGTTTAGGGACTTTAAACAGCACATGGAATAATAAAATGCTTCCCTCATAGGAAATATGGATATTGCAATTTTTTTCAAGAACTAGTGACTACAGTCACCTTGTATTCTTCACTGGAGCCACTATTTTAAATTATTTACCATTATAAAAAATTAAGTGATTTGTAGTTGATTCTAAAGGAAATGGGGAAGGTGGAGACTTGATAAAAGTAATTTGGGCTCATAGAAATTTAGTCGTTTTTACTGTTCAGTAATTAATTTTTCATCAAAACTTATAATAAGCAATGCTTTGTATCAGTACAAAAATAAGAATCCAGTGACTGCCATTATTTTTCAGAGAAATACTGATGGTTTTAAGATGGGAAACTGCCACTGAAACTAATCAGTTAAACTGCCCTGCATAGAAGATGCTGTACATTTTACTTTCAAGGCCTTGCATTTTCAGGAGGAATATATGTAAGTAAGTATGGGCTCACGTATTTCACAAATGTAGAGCACTTCATTTTTCTTCTCCCTACTTAATGGGGTTGAGAATAGTATCTGATATTGTGTACTTTGGGGAGTTGTAAGGATTAAATGAAACTTCTAGTAGAATATGCAGATGTTTAACAAACGATAACCATTTTACCTTCTTACTTAGGCTTAAAGTATCTCCAAATGTAAACATATGTTAAAGAAGTCTTACCTAAGGATACCAGTCTTACCTAAGTATACTTTCTTTCCTAAGTTTTAAAGTATCCCTATTAGAGAGCAAATGTAGATACGTATTTTAAAAGGCCAATCCTTTTCTAGATCCTAAGGACAGGATCTAGAACTCACAAATATTATGAATAAATTCACTCCCTTTTGCCGGTTCATTTATTAACTTAGATTTGAGAAGTCCAGGCATTCTCAATCATCTCTAGCACAAGAGATCTTTTGAAAGACACCACATTTAATCAGAGCCCATAGCTCTTATGCACACATTTCTATTTTCATTTTCCTCTCGAACAAACTTGTAAACTGTTCATATTTCGAGAACGCCTAAGAAAATCCCCGGCACAGAGTCAAGCAGTCCAATGAAGGCATGCTGACTGGAACTCTGGTCTATGCTGTTTGTATACATCAGAGAATTACGGCAATTTGGCTGAACACCGAGTTTACATGATACAGGTTTCAAGTGTTCCAGTGTTTCTCAATATTACATATAGCTTTGCTTTCACATTTTTTTTTTCAATTGCAAAGGTCTTCCACAAAATTTCTCAGTTAACATAGGTAATAACAATGAAACTTAGTAAACAGTTCCCCAGAATTAGTAAGAGGACTTACCTTACTCTAGTGGAAAACCAATGACAGCAAATAATGAAATATAACACAAGTTAAAAAATGCCTTTCAACACATGCAGCACTGTGATTAGTCATAAAAGTCTGATCAGGTTTAGACGCAATATAGGATTTTTCATCTCTTTTGAAAATAAAAATTAAAGAAGTTATTCCTTATTCTTCTATACCTAGTATATACATATATTTAACTTTTCTATGTAATGCAACATGCAATATTTGCTCATAACCATATGTGTCAAAGTACATGTAGCTACAGTACTACATTTGGCATAAATGTTGCATATAAAGCATAAATATGAAAGTAATACTTTAATAACTACCATAAATGTTATTATTTGATTTTTCAATTATTTAAATTTTAGAAGATACTTATTCCTGAATATATTAAGGAATGGGCTTTTAAAAATAGTAAGTCCTATATATCAAATAACACAATCAAATTTAAGGAAGGATAAATATGCTTTGCAACAAATGTAATATGTTATTCTTCATAAATCATTTGTGCCAAAAATATGACAGTATCTTGATAATGAATAGCATGAGGGAATGGCCATGATGGAACTCATATTATTAAAATCTGATAAATGCTTTTAAGACCATAGTTAGCAACATATTGGTTTTCAATTCTCAGCGAATGTGGTGATAATTCACTTTTTTGGTAAGTCAATTCACAAAGGCTGACTCTTTACTGAGCAATTTGCTTTCAAGGTACACATGCAAAAATCAGCCCGCTTCATCATACACATGACAGGTTGTGACTTAAGACACATACACAGGAAATGTGATGTGTGAATGAAATGCATAGTTGGGTGAGGGAGATTCTTAGGATAGAAGGATGAGTGCCCAGGCAACAAAGGTTAAAAAAAAAGGATTCTCTTTTATCCTAAGAAGACCCCACCAGCATGGATCTTGTGAGGGATCTGCCCAAATGTATTCACAAACATTTACGGAAAAACAAATATTCTACACTAGCCAATGAATTCAGAGAAATTAGGTTTCTGACACTTGATTGTCAATGACTGTGTTACGCTGCATCACTCAGACTTTACAGATGAGGACTTTTTGTAAGCTAGTGAGGCTGGGAAAAAGTGATCTGTCAATTCGGTTCATCTGTTCTGTGGCAGATTAGCAAGGGCTAATCATCATGAAGTGCTTTTCATGTACAGGTTTTATTGAAAAAAATCATCAGAGTGGGGAGATTACACTCTCAAACAAGCATAAGGCATAAGTGACTTCGCTTGTTAAATGCCAAAACGGTGGTTTTTATCTTTTTGGTGTGGGGCTTATTCTGTATATCCATATTTATGAAACTCAAATCCTTCTGGATGGAGTATTTTAGAATTAAGCTATTAAATTAAAAATATGTTCTGTATCTTGTTCATTTAGGATGTACTCCTAAACCTTGAAATATTTTCAAAAGTGCTACATTTTTTTTTCTCCTCATCAAACTCATGTATCTTCTCACTAATATGGGCAGTACTGCGGTTAGACTCAAGATACCATGCGTGACCACAGGTTTTCTTTCTTGGAATTTTTAGCATGTGTCCTTAGTGCACATGCAAAAGAGCTAAACTATGGTAATAAAGCTAGATTAGGGCCAATCTTTACTCAGAAAAGAAAATATATTCTAGAAATGTATACCTCCAACCATTGGTTGCAAAAAACATATCAGTTGCCCTATTTGCAGTGTTCAGCTAGGCAGGGGTTGTATCTCTTTAGGTATGCACCTCAGCCTCCTGTTCCTGCCACACTTCAAAAACCAACAATCTTAGTTTATATAACTGTTATTATACAAAAGTATAATTAGGATGAGATTTTGAATTTAATAGGGCTTTATGGGAGTATTTCACCTATTTCTAAATATACATCTGCTGCAGCAAAGATATAATTAATAATATTTGTGAACTGTGACATGAACCCTGTCTGGTTTCTTTGTGTTTTATTTGCTTGAAAGACACTTGGATAAATTATTTTATTTTTCTGAATTATCTGGAACTTTAATTTTAAGCTCATTAAATGTATGAATTAAAGTAAATTATGTAGAGCTATGGAAGGCATATTGACTAGCAGATGCCTTAAAATTTTTTGTGACTCTTCTGAAAAGAAGTAGTTTAAAAGAATACAGTGGCATGGAAATATTAAATCCTAATATAAGAGCAAAACATCAAAAACATAAGTTCTGAAAAGATAATTTCTTTGTATGGTATTTTTAAAACAACTTATTGATTAAATTCAACTTTATGAAATATTTCTTCCTTCCAAAAAAGAAGGAAAACAAAGTAACTCCTTTAGTTTTAACAAATTTTAACATATAATAATGTATACATATGTTTATCAATATGTAAAATTTTATAGTTACATGTATAAAGTTATAATTTAAAATCATTCACTGAAAAGAAGACTCTGAATAAAACTCAAGTCATGTAATACTCTGCATGTGAGGCAATGCGCTTTTCTCATTCAGAATGTTTTAGTCCCCTGAGACTCTGAGAAAATCATACAGAGTAAGAGCACACAGGTGGCTGGTAAGTGATAAATTCTTCAAAGCACTAAAATTCTGGAGATGGAATAAAAGTAAAGTCTTTACAAATGCAGATTATTGCTCCAGAAAAATACCAGAAACACTAGGTTGACTCTTGTAATAATATCATGAGAATATCATGAAGCTGGCAGCTGCTTATAAAAATTAATACCAATGCCAGGTATACCGGAAGGTTCCCTTGGGAACTGTATGATGTGAACGTTTGAGGCAGAAGGTCAGCTCTGTTTGACTCCTGAGTTGTGAAGGGGTTATTTCATACCAGGGAGTATATTTGTACTTCTGACCCACCTACTCTTTAATTTTAGTCTGTGGGAAGGAACTGTGGTGATGATAAGCCTTTGAAATCCAAAATGGATAACTGCAATTGCTCAGCTGGGTGGGAGGAGAAGAAATATCTATTGAAACACATGACATGTAAGATTTGTTATATTTACCCAAGGTCAGTATTAGCACCCTGCCTTCTATTGAGGACTGTCAAATTTTGAACTTTTCATAAAAATTGGTAATGCTTTGTCAGGGATAGGAAGCTCCATTAATGTAAACTGTCTCAGAGACAGACTTGAAAGATAAAAACCAGTTACTAATTCTAAATCTGATTCTCAAACAGTTTATTAGAATGAACTGAGGTGCTTTTAAAAAAGACTGATGCTCAGGTCTCACTGCAGATCAGTTTAAATCACATGATCTGTAGAGATGGGTATGGGCATTGGGACATGTGTTGATGCTTCTAAAAGCTCCTAAGTGTATCTCATGTTCAATTAGATTGAGAAGCGCTCCTTTGAAAGGAAAGTAGCCAGGGAAGAATGGATGTGGGGTTGGTTTTTGGTCTGTCTGGATATCTTGCTCTCTCTGACCTTACCACACATCATTCATTTTAGAGCCCAGCTTAGCCAGGAGACTCCTGGCATAGTGCAGTCTGAGGAGATCAAAATCTAAGTGAAACATCAGCCTCATTATAAGGAGTCAAGTGAGTCTGGACTGTTACTTTAAACATCAACCTTCTCTTATGGAGGCAGAGCCCAGCAAGTGGTCCAAAGCAGCAGAGCGCACAGTGGGAGCTTGTGTGGGGACTGGGTTGCTCTTGGATCTGGGGGTTGATATGGATGCCATGCAAGCAGGTGCCTCAGTGAAAACTAGGACAAGGACTAACTCAAGACTGAAAAATTCAGCTCATGGCTATGATTGAAAGAAAACAAATCTGGTAGGTTTCCTACCAATTAATCATTTAAATTTGCTTTCAAGATGACTGAAATCAGACAAAGGGCTGATTTCATTTTCTATTTGGTAAACAGAATGAACATTTGAACCTATCTACCGAGAAGATTCGCCTCTCCTTGCCAACCACTTGGAGCCATCAGTCCGAACCCGCCGAGACATAAGCATTCCAGTTCTACAGGAACTAGATTGTTAGAGAAAAAGTAAGTCATCTCTCTGTGGAACAGTCAATCCAGCTAGTTGAGAGCGCTGATAACCTTATTCTATGGGAGAAACCATGGAGGGGGCACCCTTGACTTCTTAGGTGCTGGGATTAAAATCACAAGGAATCTGAAACCAAATTCTTTGTTCTGGTTTTAACCATGTCACTAAATGGAAGAATGCCCCGGGCATCTGTGGCTTGGACAAGTGTTTATAATCAGGCACATGAGGTAGTAATTCTCTGCACATCGACCAGCACAGATCCTTTTTCTTTTCAAGATGTCATTCCATTTTATAAGGCAACCCAGACTTCATGAAGGCACTGATCCCATTTACCTGGAGACTTCTGTTCGATCCCATTGAATTAATATTGTCAAATTGTTAAATAAACTGTTACTTATTGAAGTTTTCTAAGGTACATTAAATCATACTCGGGGCCTTGTAATATCACTTTGTTGACTATAGAGCTATAGTTTGCAGTTGTGGAAGAGTGGAAGCCAAAGTGATCCTGTGGGGGTTTCTCATCAGGAACAATTCTTACTGAATTAAGGAGCATGCCATATCAAAGGAATTTCAAACCTTTCTGAAATGGACATGAGATGTTATATATCAGATACTCACAGCACGACCTCCACATGGTCCAAAGCCCATTGATCATGACCTGTTCCATTGTGGCGTGGCTGCCACCAGCGCAATAAAACTCCTTTCATCCGTGCCTCCCTAGGTTGCAGATAAGAAGACAGGTCAAACACTAGAAAAGAGAGAACTTTCTGGTAAATACAATAGGCTACTCTAAATCAACAGAACTTTGGGTATGGAATTTAGATTTGCTTAGGTCACAGTATTCTTCTAAGCAGCATCACATTTTATTGGCTACTCAAGGATTTGCAATCCTCCACATCCCTCTCATTTCTTCCCCTTGTTCCACTGGTACCTGGAAGAGCTGCATCTTCAGTCAACAAATGGGATGTACCTTCTGTGTGATGGGTTAGACACTAGACACTAGGGTACCAGGCCAGGCAAAACGGACAAACCTACCTATCCTCAGCAAATTCTCAAATCAGTGTACCCAGCAGGAGATTTAAAATGTTGTCTTCTAAAGGACTAGAAACACATTATTGGGAGGGAAATATGCACAAAGCACCTTGGTATTTAATTGTTTTTCTCTGTTCCTTCTTGCTTTTACTCCTGGCTCCAAGTTTTGTCAGTTGTCCCAATAGGAAACAGTAACACAACTTTGGAGATCTGGACTAGTTGGTCGTGGTTCTGCCACCACCGACTTAGCGGTGCTTGTTCAGTAACTTCACCACACACTGTTAGTTTTCCTTTCTGGGCACTTACAGGGGGACGTTGTAGGACACCCTCTGAGCCTGGGCGAAGTCCTTGGGCTGGTGCTGCGCGATGACGTGCCAGCTGATCCCGCCGTTGACGCTGTACTGCAGCAGCACGGCCTTGTCCACGGCCTGCGGGCCGCTCAGGTCGCTGTTGCAGCTGTCTGTCTGTGATGTGCTCCCAATTTGCAAGACAAACATGATTTTGCTGGGGGGAAAAAAAAAACCACCACAGGGGAATTCATTTTTAAACAAAAGTCAGGTAGTATTCAAGGAGTTATACTTGATATATTTTTTTATCTTACTTGTTTCTAAGTTCTGTAATTTTCAAGTTCATAATATGGTAAAAATAGAAGCATCCAGTCTTATGACTAAGTCACATAAATAACCATTTATTTATGCTATCTTTTACATCATACATATGAAAAATAAGCTTGGAAGGCTGGTGTTCTACACAGAGAAAACAATTTTGACTTTCAAAGATCTTTTTTCTTCCTTTGATGTTAGAAATCTTGTTAGAACATTTCTCCTGAAACACCTTCTGTTTTCTGCAAGGTGATATCAGCCAAATAGGCAGCTGAGGACATAGAGAAGACAAGATATAAAGCCATGATATTTACTCTATATGATTTTTATGGTGGAGAAGGAAAGAGTGGCTTTATTTCTTGGCTAGGCAAAGGGGGACACAATAGGCTGGTGCCTCAAGAACTGTGCCCCTATGCTATATGCTTTTTATAAACAGCTTCAAGCTGAACAGAATCTGGACGAGGATAAATCATGTTTGTTTTAGAAAAAGATATCTGGAGATCAGAGAAGAGGGAAAACTGAGTTAGACATGCAGGCTCAGGACCATGTCTGCTGTTGTGTTTGATGTGTCCTTTTGCTTCTCACAGGCATCCTTGCCCTTAGAAGATATAGTTTTTAAACATAGGAAATCTATCTTTATAAGATTCCTAAAGTGATTAATAAGATTCGTGAGTGATTAACAGAGTGATTAATAGGTGGCCAAATAAACTGCTAGACTTACACCTGTAAATGCATTGATCAATTTAAAGCAAAGTTACTTGTTTGGCAGACAAAAAAGCTGTGTTTGCTCTGGCTTAGGTGCAGAGCTGGAACGGCAGGTGGGGAAGAAAATTCAAGCTTCCTGGGTCTCTTTCCCTTTGTCTTCTCTATTCTACATTATCACGCAGTTCCTAAACTGTGTGAACTTTTAAAGTTCCCATCTATCCAACCATCAATCTTCCATTTCCATTTGTAGCTACATATGCTAAATATAGGACTATGTATGCTTGCATTTCTATAAATCTTCACACTCACATTTATATTTACATGCTTGCATACGGTCCACATTAAAATTATCTATATAGATTATTCATAACCAATTATTTACTTTTTCAACTTTATTGACATACAACTGACCTATAGCATTGTGTTACTGTGATACACTTCTCTATTTTTTATATTTGGCCATTTCTCTAAGCTTATGCCTATGTTACCACCATTCACAAGGTAACTCTATACTAAATTTAAGCAAATCATAATTCTGAGTTGTGCAAACATATAATACTTTCTCACACCAAATGCAGCTGATATTAGGTTTCTACTGCTTAGCGACACCCATGCCGTGAAGTTCATGATCATATCTAACAATGGACAGTGATGTGCTTGCGGCGGATTCTGTGTCTGAACTACAACACAGGAGTTTTGTTACCTTGCTCGAGTGAGATCCAGAGGTTTGGTGGCAGCTTGCCTTATCTGACAGCCATTAAAATAGAGCGAGTCCCCATGGGCATAGGGTGCCAGCTGCCCACAGCCACTTCCTATCACTCCACCTTGAATAGTTTCCCAGTTTGCCTCAGTGACTCTTGCCGACTCAAAATTATCTTTAATATAACTGGGAAGGTCATGACTGAAAATAGAGCAGTCATCGCCTAGAGGGAAATGAATAGTTGCAAAAATTAGCCAGAACAAACAGAATCATCAAAGATTATGAACAAGCATTCAATTTCACATTTAATCCGATCAATGTCAGATTTACTGTAAGAATGACAAAATACCAAGCAGATATAGGTTCTTAGAAATAAATATTTCTTTTTTCTTTCAGCAATTATTGGCTTATGCTGCTGAAAAGCCATATTATCTTTGAGTTGATATTTACTAAAATAGGTAGGTGCTAATGTACTCAGTACTGGTATAAGCCCATTGTTAAAAAATAGCGTCTGGCTGGGCTTGCATGTTTAGCAGCCATGGGTCTTAGAAGGGAGCTCTCACCCTGGCATGAGAGGTAACATAATAATTTCTTTTTCCCTAGCATGATAAGAAAATAGCAGGAAAGAAGTCATGTTCTTGTTCTCCTTCTAGCTCTTATAGTTGATTCTTGAGAACAGAGTCTATATTTTATTCATTGTTGGATTCTAGCACCTAGCATAATACTGAGTACATATAAAATGTTCCATAATGAAGCTGGAATAAATACAGGAATAATAAACTGGAAGTGTTTCTCAGAGATAACAGAGCTGCAATACAGGCATTTAAGGAAGGCATTACTTTAGCAAATGTGTATGTCTCTACATTTTTTCTTGACTGGAAATGCACAAATTTTCTCAATGTCTATAATAACTCAAAATCAAAAGCTCAAGTTCTGCTGGATCAGAGAAAAGGGCAAATTCTAGACACCTAGGACTCCTTGTAAGACAGCTGAGTTGTTTATTTGCCTAAAAGTTCAAATTCTCCAGCTAACACATGGACAGACCCAGCTGGTCTCAGCAATAATAAGACCAGGGGAAGAAGACAGCAGCTAAGAATTTCTAACATCAGCAATGTTAACATGTAACAATGTAACAATCAGTCTACACTTATCATACTCATTTCATTTGGAGGCAAGGAAATAGCATCCATCAAGAAAGCTAAGTAGACTCTGCTCCAGAATCCAAATCTATGGGTTCTTGCATTGCACACTAGGAGAAGCTAATTCTGGTCCTCTTTGGATAAATCTCTCAGCTCTGAGAGACATAGAGACTGATTGGAAAGAACAACCTGGGTTCTGGTCTTCTTTCCGACATGTACTATTAGAGATGTCACTTAGGCTCCCCTCAATTTCTTTACCTATAAAGTGATAATGGTGACATTAACCATAGTTAATATATGGGGTGGGTATCATAAGTACTGAATGACTCCGCTGAATGAATGGGGGGATACTTGTGTAAACAGTAAAGCATAAGGCAGTGTAAGGGTTCAGTAAAAAAATTTACTGTGCATTGCTCTTTGTCAAGAATTAGGCTCCCAGGATGTACAAGTAATTGGATACAGTGAGCTTTGTAACATAGAGGCTGAAACCTGTGAGAAACATTTCATCAAAGGAAAGCAGGGCTGCAGGCTTTCAAACAGGACTGACAGAGCAACCTCCTGGGATCTCAGCAGTTGAGTAGATACTTCGCCCCAAATACATAGCCTCTAGAAACTCAAGCAGTAAAAATGTATTTTTTGAGTTATGAAGGTTTTTCTGTGTGTGTATGTGACGAAGAGACTTGGCAAATGGAACATTTTGAATTGTTAGCTCCATCTTGGGAGGCCAGGGGCACGTGCCCCTGGGAAAGGCCGAGGAAGAAAGAATATTGGTCCAGTGTCTGGGGACAGGCAGCCAGGCAGGGAAGGAGAGGGGCCCAGAGCAAAAATCAAGTGTGGAAGGTAGAGGCTGGAGCAGGGAGTTATGTGGAAGTTGAGGAAGGTGAGGTACTATAGAATATCCTGGGGGGGGGGGGGTATAAAATCTGCATTTTTAAAAATTCACGGAACATAGCATAAAATTATCCTTCATAATTCATCCCTGAGGTAAATAAGTCTGTGATCAAACAGTGCATCATCTATCTCAAATCCCTCAGGCCAGAGTTTCTACCATTCCCTAGTGGCCTTTGCACGCATGTTGAGATGAGGAGAACCTTATGGTCTCCTGGGTCAAGAACAACACAACGGGATTCTGACCTTGGAAACTTTCATCGCAGATGCAGACGGCGCCGGTGGTGCAGTATCCGTGCCCACTGCAGAGCTTGGGGCAAGCCTCCCCGATGTACACGTGATCGATCGCCCAGCTCTGCTTCTCTGTTTCTTCGCCCTTCTGGATCCAGCGGAACTGTGTCGCACTGAAAGCAGAAGGGATTCAGGAGGCTGTTGTTGCCCATGGTGTGTCCAGCCTCTAGTCTCTGGAGATAGGGGCTATTTCTAAGAAAAGGGCTTCCAAAACTTTTCCCCAAAGCATCCAATTGGTGGAGGTGAGTGAACTTGTACCCCTCAGACTCTGGAAGTAAAACCCCAAAATTCCTGAAAAATTTATGTGCATTTCCTGTTCTAGTACATAATAAGCCCATATCCATTTTTCCTACAGTGGTGTGTCATTTTCAAATCTTTGGAGAAAATAAATGCTACTCTAGGAAGACTGTGCTCCATTATATCTACCCTACAGCTCAGCATGACCCGATCAGCCTGGCACACCCCAGCGGGCACTGATTGTGGGGGCACAGCAGAGCCTCTGGGACCATAGAACACTGGGGCAGTGGTGGTGCCAAGTCCAAGCCTTGGGACATTTTTCACTCAGGGTCTGTGACTGAGATTGGTGTGTGCTGTGGTATTTAATTAAAAGAAAGTTTGAGGTCTATGAATCATTTACAAAGAAGAATCCTATTTCTTCTGGGCACACGCAGTTACCATTTAGGGGCATGGGGCAGTGAAAGAAGCGGGGAGATGAGGGCAGAGGGGACTAGGGCTACAACTAAAAGTCGAGACTCCTTTTAGCAGTTGCTCTCGACTCCCTGTAGGAGCTCTGCAGAGACTCACAGGTCATTCCACACGGTTCACCTAAGTACGCGGCCTACCTGGAGGAGACATGGTCAGGCAGCTGGATGGTGATTCTCCTCCAGCTAGAGCTGTTGACAGCATTGTAGATGGTGGCTTCATGGAACTGGAAGGGGGAGCAGCCAATGCTGTTTGAAGAGGAAGGAAGGCACTGGGTCTGAACGAGCTGCCAGGAATCGGACCTGCAGAAACCAGAGAAACCAGAGAGGCTGCATTAGACAGCTCTTCAGAGAAATATACAGCCTGTCTCATGTCAAGGTAATGCTTAACAATTGAGTTAAATTAAGAAATTTTAATATAAATTTCATATATATATATATAATTACATATAATAAAAAGAAAAATGGAAAATTATTTCAAATAAGATATACCCTAACTCTTTATAAGCACATTAACATATTTATAGATGACAGAATAAAATAATAGCAGGCACAGAGCTGACTCTAATGGCTTCTTCTCCCTGATATTGCTGTAAGAACTATACCTGGAGTTGACTGACAATATTCTCTGTCTACCCAAACTTTATTACTATAATTCAAAGTGGTGGTGGGAGGCAGGCCTATCGACACCCTAAAGAGGTAACTGCGCTAAGTCAGACTCATAGTCAACAGTGCTGCTATGCTTAGGGGGTGTGACTCTAGCTAAAGCATAATCAAGTCTTTCATTGATTTATATTTTTATTAGGGTTGCTTGAAAACAAGCAACACAAACAAGAGAGCTCTACTTTGAGGAAAAATATAGTGTCTTAGTTTAAAATACAAAATTTGTTGGCTGCAGCCTAGTATGAAATTGACTTTTCTTGGTTTGAAGGAAAAATTGAAAATAAGATACACTGTGAATTTTATACAAATGACATTTTCACATGCATACAATTAACTGCCACATTTAATACATAAGAATGCTTCCCTGTAAGCAGTTGCCTTAAAAATAGACAACCATTTGAATTGTATATTCACGTTTGGAGGAAATGTAAAAAGTGATTTCACAAACCTTGCATCCTTAGTGTACTCCAACATTACGGAATGAAGGTCACCACAAGAAGTGGCTTCACAACCCACCACAATCTAAAACAAGCAGATAATTGATATGTGTCAGGCAAGATTAAATAATGCCTAGCATTAACGAGAACTCCCATCTCTCTTCATTATGATTCTGATAAGTAACCAAGAAGTATTTGAAGCTTTTACAGAGCAGCCTGCCAGACACCAGGTAGACATTCTTTTGAGTTTTGTACAAGTCATGCCATTTTGCAAGGAGATGAGAATTTAGGTTAAAAAATACTATTTACTTAATTAGTATAACATACTAATTGTAAATTTGGGGAAGATAAATTGGCCAAAAGGAAAGTAGTATTAGGAGAATTAATGGAAAGAAACAAAGTATCATTGGTTCAAGATAGTTTCATTGATTTACTAACTTCCTTGATGCTGCCATTACATTTTTATATGTAATTTAAAATAGTTAATTTTTAATTACTTAATATTTCTTCCTAGTTTTTTCCATTTCCATGTAGATAAAAGTATTCTATATCATGTGCAATTGAATGCTTGAATCATCAACAGTGCATAAATGCTGTAAAGACTTGGTGATTCAAATTTAAGTTCTAATCATCTACTCAATCAACAAGTCCTGTTTCACTGCTGACACTAGAGAAGGTTGGTACTATAAACTTCATACTATATGCTTATTCATAAAACAACTGTGGTTTCAGAGAGAGAATACAATGTGTATTCCAGCAGTGGAAATGGAAACCAGAAAAATATAAAATGCTTTGGTGCTTCATAGGAAGGAGAGGTTGAATCTGATTAAGTGGGTGAGAAAATAATTCTTCAGAAGTTGGAGAGCTGAATTATTCCAACTACAAACAGAAATAATAATTATGTGATGTGATACAGGTGCTAACTACCACTATTGTGGCAACTGTATTATAGTATATAAATGTATCAAATCAACATGTTGTATGACTTAAATTTACACAGTGCCATATGTCAAATATATTTCAATTAAAAAAAGAAAAGAATTCATCAATGAGAGTGCATGTGAGCTGTCCCTGAAGAATGGGAAGAGTCTCAGAGGTAGAGATAGGACAAAGATGTTTAGGTGGAAGGACTGTGAGCAGACATGCAGGGGGAAAGCACTGTGGCATGTCTAGAGCATAGCGTGTGGTTAATGTGTTTTGGTTTAAGTGTAGAACATTGGTAGAGAAGGCTGGAAAGATTGGTTGAGTTTGGCAGACCATGAGTTGTGGTCAAAGGTGTTTGAGCTTAATATGGTAGGCAGTGGGGACTCATTAAGGGTTTATGAGCAGTAGAATGATGTATCAAAGCTGTACTTTGTAAGGAGCAATCTGTGCTGCTGAAAACACGTGAAAGGAGAGAGATTAGACAGGAAAAGACTACTCAGTGGATTACTGATTTAAAGAGGGCCAGAATGAAGGTGGTAACAGTGCAAAGAGAAGAGATGCTATGGGTGCCAGGAATACAGGGAATTAGAATTAAAAAGATGGAGTAACTAATTATATGTGAAAAATGATAAAGACTAAATTAACATTTAGAGCTGGTGAATAAGTGAGAGGCGATGCCATCAAGAGAAATAGGAAAATCAGAGAGAGGAGTTGGCAGAAGTGGGAAGGTAGGAAGTTCACTATTAAATATGTTGAGTTGAGATGCCAGTAATTTAAAGGTGTAGAAAAGTACACAGGTGATTAAAAGTACAGAATTAAATGTTGATGAGCCAGTCAAGGTTGGATATGCAAATCTTGGAACTGCTCTTAAAGATATGATACTTGAAGCCGAGGGTGAATGAAGTTCTCAATAGTGAGAATGTCTATGAAGAGAGAAGAAAGCCTGGGAGAAGTACTAAGAAATGCTGATATTTAGAGGGTTGAGGGAAGAAGAGCCAAAAAGGAGATAGACGTAGCTATTAAGAAGGTAAGAGGAGAAGCAGCAGAGAACCCAGAAACTGAGGGGAAAGAGAATTTCACCAGCTGGAGAAGACAAGAACAAGAGTGCCAAATATACAGAGAAAATGAAAAACGAGGAATGGGTGAAAGGTGTTGCATGTGGTGTTCAGAAAGTCTATGGTGACTTTAAAGATGCAGATTTAGTGACACTTTAATTCTTAAATTTCTGGGGACAAGTTTTTTTTTTTTCCTCTTTTTTAAAAGAAACAAATTGACTTGGCTAAGGAAGAAAATATCAGTCTCTGCAGTTCTGGGTTGATAGAAGCAACAAAAGAGGAGGCCCCAACCAACTTAATAAAAAATATGAGTGTGATGCAGGCCTGAGAGAGGAAAAGCCTTCACGCTTAAGGGCCATGGCTTTGAATTAGGGGTAGTGTAATTCTGGATGTGACTCTGAGCGTCCTTCATGTCACTAAGGTAAGGACAGTCCTGAGGGGGTGGGGCTTGCCTCACCCTCCAGTCTCTGAAGAAGAGTTTAATACAAAGCTGAGGAAAACAGAAAATTTGCCTTTTTTCTTCTTCTTCTTACAAAACTGAAACCCTATACACATTAACTCCCCATTTCCCCCTTCTCACAGCTACGAACACATTTTTATTTATGGTAATAAGGATTCTTTCTGTCAACTGTCATTGTAGCACGTCTTTTTAAATAAGGGCATTAGAACAATTGATCTGTCTCTTTAAAATGATCCAGTAATAAACTGCATTTCTGTAATGTCCCTTTTTAGTGTTTTCTGCAATAAGACATTAATTGATAGTGCTTTATCTTTCTCTCTAATTTGTCTACTAATTACCTCCTATGCCTTCTCTTCCATTTTTCTATATGAGTAAAATATGCATTTATTAATAAGAAGTGAGAGTCCTTTTCAAATCTTTGAGGATTTGGGAGGTTTCAGTTGGGCTAATGTACCGGTTTGCTGTTTGGAAGTCAGAAAAGAAAAATGGAAAGGTATCATGAAAAAGGACATATAAAGAAGCAAAGCTTGATGTATGAAGATACATAAAGATATAGTGGCATAAAGATATAAAGATAAAGTGGTAGAGAAATTAGCGGGAGAGAAAGAGAGACAGAAAGGGATAGAAACAAAGAAAGAGATAGACAAAGGCACCTACTTGATCTTTTTATTTCCAAGGTTTGTAAAAGTGAAGTCAAGATTACATATCTGAGATATAATATAGTTGCATGTCCTGCTATGTCTCAGTATATCTGTGTTCAAATAATCCTACAAGATAAAGGCCTTTGTGAAAGATAACTTCTTTTATTCATAAAATAAAGTCTCTTTTAATGAATGCAATAAATCATTTCCTTATAGTTGTTCAAATAAGCTTTCTCTCTGTACTCCCTCCCCCAAATCTAACACCAGACTGCCTGGAGGAGCCGCTTCCCCTTACTTTAAACTGCATCATATATCCTGGCTGTATAATGAGTTCTCTGGAGGAGAGTGCATTGTGAGTCTTGTCCTTCTTTTTATTTGGCCAGTAGAGGTGGAAGGATGGATTGCCACAGAATCCTGCTGTCCTCACGGCATTAGGGTAAAAACTCCAGTTTTCTTCATGCGAGGTGCCTTCTGTTTAGATAAATTGGAAGTAATATGGCATGTTATTCTCTTAAATTAATTGGTTTATTGTTGAACTACTTGAATGTCTATGCTCTAGCTCTTTGCTTACCCTTTAAGATTTATTTTTATTTTCTTTAATTGGTATAATATATAAGCAATCAAATCTAGAAAAGATTATTAAATGTTAGTACAATGATTACCCAACTTTTAAAATATAATTGCTAGTCTGGGTAACTTTTACTATTGCAAGATTTTTCCTGGAATACTTGCAAACCAATAAAATAGGTATCTCTGCAGTATAGAAATTCTTAAAGAAACTGAAATTATTTGGGGCTGCTGAAATTTCAAATTATATTTAGAGCAAGACATTGTGTCTTTAATGGGATTTATTAAATTCTTTGTTGACATTTCAACAAGCAGTCAATCTTGAAGATGTATAAACTATTAGACAAAATAATAGCTAACATTCATTGATCAGTAAATATATGGTAGGCAACTCATCTAAATGCTTTTCATGTAGCAATTCATGTGAAGACATAAGCAGAAAAAAGATACACAGGGAAGATTGCTCAATGTCTTGTTTCTTACCATCATCAAAAGTGTCAACCAGTTGACTGGGATTGATTTCTGCTCCACCAATCAAAATGTTGTCTAGTGCCCACTGAGCACGCTCTACCCCGGAGACCACAAGTCCATTGCTGATCACAAAAGGCTGCCACCAGCGAAGTCGAGTTGTGTTGGTAAGAGCCTCCTCGGGAAGAAGTATGTAGTCATGTCTGACTGAAATGTACTTCTGATAATCCATCTCATGGAGCAAAGACCAAGTAATTCCTATAAAACAAATATACCAACATAGTAACATACTGAAAAAAACACAACAGACCACCAATATATTGCAGTTACTGCAAGTTCTCCAAAGAGATCTTCAGCCAGATAATGAGAACTGATTTCACTGATTTTAATGTAAGTATTCACACATTGTTTCAAAATGAGATGATGATGTAAGGGGAAGGGTATTTAGAAATACTTGGGAAAAAATAAAAATACCAAGGTAAAAATTAAATATTTTCAGCTTCTAAAGTTTTGTTCTTGATTCCAATATGCATTATTTCTTATAAATAATGAGAAACACCCATGTTTTAAATCTTTCTAGATAAGATACTCCTAGTATTTTAAAATATAGCGATTATAATTCTATGCAATTTGTGATTTGTTGGACAAATATGAAGCTTCTCTCATCAACTGATAAGACAGTGGGTGGAATGTTTAAATTACTTAAGAAAACACCTTTGAATTCCTAAAATACTTTTAAGGTAGGGTCATCTATTTATCTGCCAGTTATTAAGAATGATACCTATCCCCTAGTGCTGATTTTCTGAAGACCTCATGGTACTACTGGTCTGGTTCTAGCTACTTCAAAATAACGAAACAAAATCTTGTTAAAATAGTGTGTGACAGACTCACAAATTGACTATAGTTTTCCACAACTACTAATGCTTTCTTATAGATTTTCTATACCATTTATTATATGCCTGTTCACACAAAAGCTTTTTAAAACACTTTAAAATGTTTCTAAAATTATCTTTTACTTGGAAGACTATGCAAAAATTGATTTCTTATTTGTATCATTTATAATAAAGCTTCAGCTATGCTCGTGATTATTGTCTTTACTCATAAGCTTGGAGTTTTGTTTTAAATGTGATTTCTCTCTTTTCTCTTTTTGTGTAGATTTTGTACAACACAGAAATTACAAATATAGACTGTGTAATGGGTGGAATGCAACCAAGATCTATAGCTTTCTCTTTCTGACTTTCACTGTTTGCATTGCCAGGTCAGCAAAGCTTTGCGGAGATTTTTCTGAGGGGCAATGGATGGAATTTGGGAATCTGCTGCAAGGCATGGCTTTCACCCTTGAAACGTGCCTCCGTCTGTAGAGTAGTCCAACAGCACGCCTTCCTTCCGGCAGATGGGCCGATGGCAGGAGGTCATGTTGTTCTCACTACCAATGCGCCCCCAGTACTGCAGGAATCTGAATGCAAGCACAAATTAGCCATCAGAACAGATAGAACAAATTATCTACTCAAGCCCTGGATAACAACTTCTTTCATAGGTGTGTTCTTGTTTGGGGGCCAATTTGCTAAGTTGTAACAAAGATAACAAAAAAATCGGCTTACTTTGCCCCTCTGAGGTCCAAATCTTGAGTAATAGCTTGTCTCACTGTGGATCCCCCAAAATAGAGTGCAGTGTCCTCTGCAAGAATCCCACACTCAGTACAAGTACTTCCACCTTCCAAGGACATCCATAAATCAGGCTTGATTTCTTCACTGTCAAAGCGTTCCTTCAGAAAAGTCTGGAAAAAAGTAAGTGGTATGTGTTTAAAAGTAAAAACTTCAAAGAATAATTATGGAATAATTAAGACAATACAAAGTTACATCTTGGACCTTAAAAAATTAGAGCTAATTTCAAATGCTTTTCTGAAAGATATTAAAAGAAACCCAACACGATATGTCCACAATATTCTTGTCCATCATCTATTGACAATCATTTAAACTGCTTAACTAATGCTTAATTATTGGAATTTAAAATCTAGAAAGAATCTTAGAATAGAACAATTGTAAAGTTGAGTTTAGTAATACTCGTATTTGTAAAAACTTACTTAAGCATATACTCTCAAAATATTTATTTATATATTATGGAAAGTAATCTTGTAATTTATTATGATATTATGAAAACAGGAACAAAAATTTAAAAAAATTAAAGGAATAAGACAAGACAGATGTTTTATTTTTTTTTCTGCTTTTTTTTTCATTTATTTTTATTAGTTGGAGGCTAATTACAGATGTTTTAGCACTTCCCCCTGTCCCAGTATTCCCTGACTGATTGTCTTATTCTCCCTGGAAATATGTGCCCCCTTCATTCCCTGCATCTTGGAGACTGTTTTAGGAACCCAGGACCCTTCAGCTTTCAACACAGAACAAACTTAAAATGTCTATTTGGTTAGGCAGGGACATTTGAAACCAAACCTTTCTGTATGAAGTCAAAAGAAAACAATCTTGGAAGGCAATTTAAAGGACTTTTCACATGTTTGTCAGGGCCAAGATTCCAGATGATAGGGAGAAGAACTCAAAATCTAGAATAAAATATTTCCCCTGAGTCTCCAGTTTATCCTCTGACTAAAAAGGACCACCAACCAGGAATAGTCTATTTCCAAAACAGAATAGATAAATAAAATATTAGGGTTCATTATGGCTAATTTTATGTTCAATTATTTCATTTCCTCACATCATAGTCAAGATCTTGATTTTCTATTCATTTTGTCCAGAGGACATTCTTTTTGTCCATAATACAGTTTTGCATTAGGTTGAGGCAGGTTTTGTTTTCATTTTCCTTTTTGTTTTTTTAGTGATAGAAATATGTCATGAAAACTATATGTCATAGTTGCAACTGTAGTAGCTGTTTACAGAAAAACTGTGTACCTTTTCACGTCTTAGGTAGGTTGTCTAGTTGCTATCTTATTATATGGATCAGATGATTTAGACAGACCATCTTCAAATTTGGAACATAATCAACTCCACAGTTAAAGACATGTGGTCAACATGTTAGCCTTACCTTACCTCACTGATGTTAGCAAATAAGTGCAATTTATAACTGGAGGTTTATATGTGAGAACACAAGAGTCAGAAGACATGCTTTGGTAATCATGTTAAACTCTCATTAGAAATATCTGATTCAGGGTTCATAATGTAGATTTCTACAATTTCTTATTTCTTATCCAACTGAAGAATGCTAATGGAATTTAAATATTCACAAAAGACTCTATATCAAAAAATTTATTTATTACCTGTGGCTACCTTTCTCATGTTATAATCTCATTTGATAACATACAAACTAACAGCTTCAGATACAAGTGAGCATTGCTCCAATTTTATGTTTTTAATCTATTAGTTCCAAAGTTGTTGAAGTATTGTAGAAAAAAATCACAGTTTTTAAAAAAATGTATTTATTTTTGGCTGCTTGGGTCTTAGCTGCAGCTCACGGGCTTCTCTCTAATTGAAGTGCGTGGGCTTAGTAATTGTGGAGCACAGGCTTAGTTGCCCTGAGGCATGTGGGATCTTAGTTCCCTGACCAGGGATCAAAACTGCATCCCTTGCATTGGAAGGCATATTCTTCACCACTGGACCACCAGGGAAGTCACAAAATCACAGGTTTTATTTACATTGTTTGTCACTTATACACTCAATTTCAATCACTTGTACTTTTTTTAAACTTAGTCATTTTTCTGTTATTGTAAGATAAATACAGTATATTTATTTACAGAAACAGTATATATATATATGGCAACAGTGTTGAGCAACTGTATTTACTTTGCATGTTGAATAATTATATAATAGCTAAAATTTCCGAGACTAATCTCTCTATTATTATTTAATACACAACCACATTTCAGCAGTCAACAAACCAGAACACTTTCTGAACAAAAATTCTGGTGCCGTTTCTGCCTTTTTGAAAACTTGTTTTTTGTGTGTGTGATAATGTATCAATATTATTTGCTTTATTTCATAACAACAACAGTACCCTCCTAATTTAAATAGTATATCTACTGAAAAAAGTGAATTAAGGAAGGTTTAATATTGACTTTAACAGTCTGCTCTATAAAACCCCAAAAAACAGAGTATGTTCTTTAATCCATACAGACTGGTTTATATTATTTAGTGGGTAAAACACACTAGCACTTGGTCCTAATATTCTTGTATTTAATAAACCCTATATATATATATATATGAGATTCTCTCCAAAGGATTTATTTCCTGGGAACCCCAAAGAACATGGTTATAAGTTATTAGTCTCACTCTTAAGTTGGCTCTTGATGCACGACCTGGAATGAGGATACATATTTTCTTCAGGGGCTTTAACTTTACCTTCAGAGTGTGAGTCAAGTAGCAGTTTGGCCCAGAGTATCCCGGATCACAGATGCACTGTTCCTTTAAGCAATCTCCATGGCCTCTGCAGTTGTCCAAGCATTCAGGGCCCAGGTAAAAATTGTCAATTGCCCACTGCGTATCTGAGTGCTTCTGGTAGAACCGAAACCTCACTGGACTATTGGCAACACAAGAGCAAAGGAGTGAAGAACAAAACTTAACTTTATTCAGGTCCATATTCCTGCATGTACATTCAGTATTCAAGAGAGAAAACATTTAAACCATTCTGACAAGATGAAATGGGTTAATAAAAGATGTTTTTGGACCATCATTATCTTTGTATTTCTAGTAATGGAAGTTTAAAGCCAGTTCAACTTACATTTTAAAATATGTGAGTAAACTTGTAAAACAAAATGAAAATACAGTGGAACCTCTACGTCAAGCAAAAGGAACATTTTAAAACGCAAATCTGTAACAATTAAAAATCAACTTATGAACTGGAGTCCAGTGGCTGCAATGCAATTTAGATTCATTAACTGTATTTCCGAAATTGTACAGAAGGTAAATCACTCCTTTGACAGCGCCTTGTCAGCATACACACGGCCTTCAGGTGATTGGGAAACAGCAGCTTCTGAATTCCCTAAAGATAATATTCTCAGAGTAACTATTCTAATTAGAAAACAATTTTGAAGGGTTATATTAAAGGAAAATTTCCCTGAGATTTTAGTTTTATCATTGCTCTTCTCTGTCCTCTGGGGAAGATAGAAGTGTCATAATTAACCTTATATTAACATATTCCACCCTTTTTTGGTGGAAAGAGTTCAGAGTACATGAGGGAACATCGTGGGAAGATATAAACATTCTGTATCTTGTTTCTGGTGGTTACATGTATTATACAATGGGAAGAAATCATGAGGAGCAATCAAAATGTGTTCATTTTACTGACTGTAAATTATATACCTCATTACAAAAAAAGAGGGTGAGAACAAGAGGGGCAAATGAGGCAATGAGGGTATGGTGGCTCTCCAGCACCCACTTCAGCCCAATGAGTCATATGAGAATGATAATATAATTTCCCTAACTGTTGATGGAGTAAGGAATGGACATTCTTGAACTAATTTGTACCAGTGAGATGCAAAGAGGTACTTGCTCCAGCCTTGCTGGAAAGAAAAGCAACTCTCTTTTCCATTGGACATAGGTAAGGATGCACTCTGCTCCAGCTTTCTGGGAGACATCTGTGTTCACAAAGGAAACTAGTCTGAAGACTCAGTGTGACATCCGTGTGTGGAGAGTGGAGCAAAGAATAAGAGTAAGAGAATAAGAAATAATAATGTCCTTGAAGACACTGTTGACTTTGTCAATCAACCAATCCTAGAGTCCACTTACCTTTGGATTTTTTTCATTATACAGATAATATATTTCACTTTCAATTGAGCCAAATGTAATTTTAATTTGAATGGAATTTTCTGTTACCTGCAGCTGAAAGTATACTGATTGCTATCTAGCATGTTAACTGACTAAGCCTTTTCGATTTGTTCCAGAAAACTGTGAGTGATCATGCAATAAACAATCTCTATGCGGCTTTTTTTGCCTTTTGTCAGTACCTTATTCAAAGGCTCTATGTGTTCTGGTCATATATCTTGAATCTGTTTCACAAAAGGTTCTTCATTTAGCCAGAAACTGTGACATATATGGTAGAAGTATAACTATCATTTTCTTCAATGTATCTTTTCCCCTAATTTTACAGTTGAAGGGAATTTCTTTGTAATTGCCTAAATTAACTTATCCACATACTTTCAGAAAACAGTTTAATCATCTTGGCTCACGACTGTCTAGGCTAATTACTTTCCACTGCAGGTGCATAACATAATAGTTTGATAAGAAAAAAAATGAAACCTACAAACTACGTTTATACAAACAGCATGGAGAGTTAGAATTTGTACCAGTATTAAGAGTTACAAGCTAGGTTTTCTCTTGGCTCCATCTATCATGGATTGACAAGGGACCAACCTGGAAAGCACAATTTACAAGGTCCATAAGGTAACAAATACCTTTTCAACTGGCTCCAAGGCCATAACTATTGCTCAAATGGAAGAGCCTGTCAGGGCCTATCTTGACAAGTCTGAGGATTACATCTTGAGGTCTTCTTAAATTAGTTCATCATGGAGGTCACTAATGAGTGAACTTTAGAGTTAGGGAGGAAGACAGCATTTTACCGACAATTACACAGTACTTTCAGGCTGACCACAGTGTCTAAATCCACTTCTGAATGCTTAGAACCAGGTTTTAATTTTCTACTTACTTTCCAACTAAGCTTTCAGGAAGTGGGTAGGTGATCCTTTTCCACCCTTTGGTTGGAAAGAATACAGATGGTTGAGAAACGCTTCCAGAGCATTTTGCATCCGCAGGTAAGCACTGCGGAACCAGATAATTCCAGCTCACACCAAAGTCTGTAGAGTACTGAACATGAATTTGATTCTGGGTGACTTTTTCAGACACTTTACATCCAACAGAGATCTAGTAAACAGAGAGATGCAAGATTATTAAGGTATTAAAACCATATTGCATGCTTCTGCTCTAAGGACTGGGTAGTAAGAAAGCTGCTGATTATTTGACAGACACTGCAACACATCCGTTTCTTTTCAGGTTCCTTATTTGCTGTGCTGATGAATGGTGGAGTTGACATGGTTGCCCTAGGTGACAAATTATAGAAAGTGCCAAATATATTGTGCAGGGAGTTTGGAGAGAAGCTGAAAGCTGTGCTTCTCCAATAGCTGGCTGATTGCCTTGGAAGGCCTGGGCCTACTCTTACAAATTGTTATTTGTTGTGCTAATGGTCTGGCACTTCTGTTTGGCAGAATGCTCGACTAAGAAGGATTGCTAACAGCTTTACCAAGTTTACTGTTTTGTTATACAATTTATGACTCTCAATAAATCACTTTCAACTGCAAGTAAGATGCAGTGAAGTAATCACAGAGGGTACTTTTGATAAGACATAGCATTCTTTGTTGATGGAGACAGTCATAATGCAACATTTGTTGCTAATAGAGTGGGAATGAGGTAGACAGAATAAATTGGTTGACATAAGATCTTAGCTAAAATTGATGTTGGCATTAATGCTAATCATGCCTTTGTTTTCTATCATTTTCTTTCTCCAGAAACACTGAAACGTTTTTATTAAAAAAGTAGATATAACCACAATCTTCTCTTAAAGGAAAAGAATGCCTACATCATATAATGATTTAAACTCAGGGAATTGAAATCAGTTTTCTACATTTTATTATCGATATTTTTCTCTATTAATATTTAATGTCAGAAGCACATTAAATCTTCTGTAAGTTCATCTTAGGGCTTCCCTGGTAGCTAAGCCAGTAAAGAATCCACCTGTAATGCAGGCGACCCCATTTCAATTCCTGGGTCTGGAAGGTCCTCTGGAGAAGGGATAGGCTGCCCATTCCAGTATTCTTGGGCTTTCCTGGTGGCTCAGATGGTAAAGAATCTGCGTATAACGCTGGAGATGTGGGTTTGATCCCTGGGTTGGGAAGATCCCCTGGAGGAGGGCATGGCAACGCACTCCAGTATTCTTGTCTGGAGAATCCCCATGGACAAAGGAGCCTGGCAGGCTACAGTCCATGGGGTCGCAAAGAGATGGACACAACTGAGTGACTAAGAATAGCACACAGCACAAGTTCACCTTGAAATAGTTCAAAAATAAAATACTTTTAATCATTAAGTTATATATACTTGGGATGTATATTATCTTAATATTAAATTTTGTTAATAGTTTTCAATGTATGTATTAAGTCAATAAAAGATTGTATGATCATTGTCTCTACAATTTTTTTTTTCATTTCTATATTATTGGTATATGACTGTTTATATAGTTAAGGTCATGGGGCTTGTGATTTCTATCACATCTCCTTTCAGCTCACCTATCTGGTCTGTAAAGAAGACAGATGGATCTTGAAGAATTACAGTGGATTGTTGTACACTGGGCTTCCTAGGTGGCCCTAGTGGCAGAGAACCCACCTGCTAATGCAAGAGATATAAAAAGATGTAGGTCTGATCCCTGGGTCGGGAAGGTCACCTGGAGAAGTGGGGATACATGGCAGCCCATTCCAGTATTCTTGTCTGGAGAGCCCCACGGACAGAGGAGCCTGGCGGGCTACAGTCCATGGAGTAGAGTCGGACGTGACTGAAGTGACTTAGCACACACACATGGTTACGGTCATAACATTTTCACCTTGAACTGCATGATCCAGCCTTCAGTGGGGGTCAGGTCGTGGGTCACCACATATACTTCTCTTCCATCATGACTGCCACAAATCATGACACCATCAGGGGAGTCACAGAATCTTTCTACTGTACAATCATCATGGAATAGCCAGTGCTCATTTACTTAAAAAAAGAAAAACAAAAATTTTAATGACAGATTTATGACAAACATACTTTAAAGCAAATATTCACTTTAGGTAAGATCGATAATTATTTTAAGTAGTAATCTCTCTTATTACATACCATCTACAGACAAAACACTAATATAAGCACATCATTTTAGGAACATAGATACTGAGAGACTGAGATATATCAACTGTCCAATACTAGTTTGTTTTTCATTTGTAACACATACATTTTTTTTTTTTCTAAACTAGTGAAGTCTACATTTAGGAAAAAAGAATGCATTTTATGTGTTACAAATGAAAAACAAAGGGAAATGTACATCTATTTGTTTTCCTGACAGATGTTTAACTTTTTAGGCCAAATCTAAAGAAAGAGGAAGATTTTCAGTAACATGATAGAGAAGTGAGTTAGCTATTTATACTCAAATTTTGGTAGTGTCTCCTGTGCAATGAAGGCAATGGCACCCAACTCCAGTAGTCTTGCCTGGAAAATCCCAAGGACAGTGGAGCCTGATAGGCTACAGTCCATGGGGTTGCACAGAGTCGGACACGACTGAGCGACTTTACTTTCACTTTTCACTTTCATGCATTGGAGAGGGAACTGGCAACCCATTCCAGTGTTCTTGCCTGGAGAATCCCAGGGACAGGGGCGCCTGGTGGGCTGCCGTCTATGGGGTTGCACAGTTGGACATGACTGAAGCGACCTAGCAGCAGCAGCAGCCTGTGCAATGAAAAAAATTGTAATAGCCAAACTCTTATAACCAGAGAGTAGAACAGTGGAAGGGGAAAAGGGGACTTGTCAGTCAAATGGCACAAAGTTTCAGTAATGCGAGGTGAATAAGTTCTGGAAATCTATCGTACAACATGGGGGCTATAGTTAACAATTCTGTATTGCATACTTAAAAATTTACTAAGAGAGATCTTAATGTTAAGTGTGCTTACCATGTGGAAAAATCAATATTAAAAAAGAGGAGAGCATGAGGAAAGTTTCAGAGATGATTGATAAATTTATGGCCTTTATTGTGGTGATCATCTCATAGGTGTATACATAAATCCAAATTCATCAAGTTGTATACATTAAATACCTACAGATTTTTGTACATCGATTATACCTCAGTAAGTGATTTTTAAAATAGCTTCTAAGAGTCTAACGAAAATTTAAGCAGTAAGATTATGACTTGATCAGTGCAGAGTAATCCTATTGTGCGGCTCTATCACACACACATGCACACACACATACATGCACACCACACACTCATGTCCCTCACAGTTTGCTTTCTCTTTTGGAAGGGGTGCTTTAACTTCATGATTTTATTCCAGAAAGGTTAGAAATTAAACATATCTATACATTTCATCTAATTGATGATACACTTTGATTTCACAGGCCCAGCTTTTCTCTGGCAGTTTCCTGGTTAGCTCCAGCATTCACAGTGGAGACGGACAGGTACAAGTGGAAGCCTGGGTTACTGTGCAAAGAGTTGGATGGCTTCATAAGAGAAGAGACCAAACAATTTAACTGGAATCCAGCTTTCACCAGTATTGTGTTCTTTTGATTTTGTCTGAGTTTAACATATGCCTGTAGAACCAGCATTTTCATCTCCAGGACTCAAACGGCTACCATAATGCCATTATCTGTTAGTTTTCACTCCATTGGATTTGGAGTTACATTTAGTCCTACAGCAGAGGTATAGGACTCCAGAATCAAAAGGCACAGAAATCTGAATTCCAGTAACAATATCCTGAGTTTATTCTCCGGTAAATATTTTATTATATGCTAGAATGCTGCGGTCCTGAAAAAGGGCTTACATTAATCAACTAACACTAATCTCTTCTGCAGTGTTATAAACTACTTCTGTAAGTAGATATTACACTTTCTAGGAGCACTGTCTTTGCAAGACAAGCACGAGCTTAAACGTACGTCACAAATTAGTCTAAAATAAAAGTCAGTATTTTCAGTACTTGAAAGACCATGTATTTGCTTTTATTCATATGGAAGTTGCACTTACATTATTCTCTGACCATAAACTCACTTATGTAAATCATTACATAGGGGAAACGAATGAGTAATTTACAAAGTTCCAAATCAGATTTATGTTGTCTACTCAATAATCTTCTTGAAAGAGTTAGACTATTTGATAGTGGTGAAGAACATTTCAAGCTTTTTCCATTTAAAAGGGTGATTTTCATTAAGTGTTTGCAATTATACCATTGTCCATGTGAAATACTAATCAATGAATTAAGAATAATTAAATATTCAATGTTAAGATGATAAAATTATAATGGAATACTATATAGCTATTAAAATTATATTTTCAAAGAAACTTAAGGACAAGAGGAAATGATAAGTATTCTAAATAAAACAAGCAGGCTACAAAATACAAATAAGACTATAATTTAGTTTAAAATATGATTATATAAAGGCACAGAAGAAAGACTCTAAAAAAATAACAAAATATTGATGTTGGTTATCCTCCAGGTGATTTTCATCTTCATGATTTTCTGTATTTTCTTAATTTCACACTTTGAACAGGTACTGCTTTTATATTAAAACATTAATAATTAAGTATTTTAAGTTAATAAAATTCCCCACATTTCAACTGTCTTCAGCATAGATTTCATTCCTCTGGAAGGTTCTTATCAGTCTCATTACTGTAAAATACATCCAGATCCTTCTTTCTACGTAAGATTCTAGCACAGAGTTGGGTATGGCATAGTCTCACTGTCTGATGAATCTATAGTGGTATAGTCTGTATATTCCATAAGACTTGCTGTATTGATACATGTAATTAAACATTACGACTTTACCTGAAGATACCACTTCAGGTTTTATGCAGTATAACTAAGTGTGTGGCATCACAAAGTCACATACTTAATATAATACACCACTTTAAAAAAGGGACCAGAATAATGTGATGAAATGAAAACAAGGCATTAAAACTAAGAATAGCATGGAGAACTCCTTGACAGTACACCAGGACTACTGCAATGCTCCTATTAAGAATGAAGAGTAAAAGCATGACCCTGGATATTTCTGAAACATGAAATGCCATCACAAATGCATGTACAGCTAAACAAAATCCTTGTCCTTGGAGAGTAAAACAAGCGTCCAAAAAATGCTGGCTTTCTAACCAAAATAAAAAACAGGAAATGTAGAAACAAAAATTTTCTCAGAGAAAATTACCCTATTAGTAAAACTACAGAATGCTATTTATTAAAACAAGCTTGCTGGCTTGAAAGAAAGAAAAGGTTTTGTTACAATGTAAAACCAGGAAGTTTGAGAGAGGAAAAGGGGACACTCTTTTCACTGTTTCTGTAACCACTTGAGAATGTATAAAAGGTTCCACATTCCATTTTTTGGAAAAGACTCAAATGGATTTTCATTTAACATCAATGAAATTTTTTTACCTGCAGTTTTGTCCTCCATAAACATGTCGAAAGCAATTCTCCCCACAGGGCCGGCATCTGCAGGCGAGCGTTCGTGCTGGGGCACCGGAGCACTGCTGAAGGTGTCCAGCATGACGGTCCTCTGGTCGGCAGAGCCCGAGATGAGGACGTTGTCAATGGCCCAGTCGTTCTGGTCCAGGCCGTCGTGTCTTGGCTGCCACCAGCGGAAGCGAGTAGCAATCTCTTTAGCATCAGGAGGGAGAAGGATATTCACAAATCTGAAGAATAAATGATGGTGAGGGTGGGGAAAAGTCGTGTCAAATGTCTCATGGGAGAAGAGGATGTGCATCCAGACATAAGACATTACACATCACATAGGAGATGAGGACAGGACTTTAGCTAAAATAATTTTTAAAAACCATGATAAATTGTCTTTATTTTATGGTCTCGTGTGTATGTACTAAGTCACTTTGGTCATGTCTGACTCTGTGACCCCACGGACCGTAGCCCGCCAGGCTTCTCTGTCCATGGGATTCTCCAGGCAAGAATACTGGAGTGGGTTGCCATGCTGTTCTGCAAGGGATCTTCCCAACCCAGGGATCAAACTTGGTTTATGTCTACCAAAGTGTACATACCCTATGCCTCCTGATCTGAAGGAGGCCTAGGCAAACAGAAAACTGCAAGGTTCACCCTGGAGGCACATTGGTAAAGAATCCACCTGTCAATGCAAGGAGATGCAAGAGACGACAGCAAAGTCTCATCTTTTTAATCCATGCCAATCTAACTCCCTTTATAGTCCAAGGCTGCCTCTTAGTATTAGCACTACAGGACAGGGCCAACAAGCACTAGTTCATCCTGGGAAGAACCCTTAAGCTAAGAGCTTAAAAATGACCCTTTGGTTTTCATCTTTTACACTGAAGAGGTTTAGTTATTTTAGTTCTGCTTACACAGTATCTCCTTGTTGATTCTTTTACCCCCTTTTCTCTCTTTACATCTTCCTTGAAGTATAATGACCAGAACAGTAGGTAGTATTCTAGATAGGGATCAATCAAAATCTATTCAGGGCTACAATGTTGTTAGTTGAATTTCTAGTACTTGGAATTTAAATACATTTTTTAGATCATGTCCATCATTTTGATACCCTTTTGGGTTACAACAGCTTAATGGAGCGTGGTCTTAGAGAAGGAAAGTGTAGACTGTAAATCTTAGACCCTCACCTGTGTAGTAACTGGCAGTTTGGAGACTATGAGTCTTTAGGTAAATAATCTTTTTCGAAGTTCATTTTCTCATGCATTTCAATTTTGAAGCTCATGTGTGCCCTCTCTTTCCTCTTTTTTTTTGTATGCTCACCTTGTAAGATATTTTTATAATTTTTATCCACTAAATTGGCATGTTTAATTAACATTTTAGAAAGTATTAGTAATATCAGAAATCTATCCATTCCTGGAAGGACACACAATCACACAGCTTTATCCTGTGAGACTTTCTTCTCATTTTTCTTTCCTGAAAAATCCTTGACCACATTTTAAAAACCTTTGGAGTGGAAATTTATCTAAGGCTGCTGAAAGTGTAAATAAATTATGACCACTGTTCCTACCTTGGTGAATTTGTTTCTCCTTCAGAGAACTAAAGTGGACTGGACAGTTATGCTTTTACCCTACAGAAACATAACTTCCTTCTCTCTGTATATAAGTGTTCAGAAGCTCATACGTGAGACACATTATAACTTTCTTCATAAACAGTTTACTTGGCTCATCTACCATCTTCTACTAATAGGTGAGCACAGTTTTTTTGCACTATCACAATGTGTACCACTTAGTTTCATTTGTAATCCTTTATTGGTGTCCAACTTTAATGCATGTGCAGGATTTAAAAATGTTTGTTTATGGCAGAGACTGCTGGCATTTCCTCAACTGCTATATTCCCATTCTCCCTTCATGTTAGGACCATCTTCTTAGTGAGGCAAATAGTCAGCCAGAATAAAGACAACATGTCCAGACTCTCTTGCATCTGGTGTGTCTGTGCGACAAAGTTCTGGCTATTGGAATGCAAAAGGAAGTGTAGGCAAGTGTTAGGAAGTGTCTTTAAAGACAGACAGCACACCGCTCTTGCCCCATCCCTTTGCTTTCGAGCTGGAATGTGTGTTCTTTTGAACCATGAGATGTAGGTCAAGTGTAGAGTGTGGCAGAAGTACCAGCTAGCAGGAACCTGGGTCTCTAGTCCTGGTGAAGCCACTGGAGCAGCTCTGGGCAGCTTCCTTTTGGATCTAACTTATATTAAGAGAAGGGAAAAAAAACTTCCAAGTTATTTGAGGTTTTCTGTAATTCACAGCTAAACCTGTTCTTGACTGATACATTGAATTTCAATGATCATTTACAAGATTCTGATTACTTTCATTTTACCTAATTTTTAGCTAGTCTCTGGCTTGCCATGCACTGAGGGATTATCTATGTTTCTCATTTTATTCTGTCTCTTATTTGGGCCACAATCATTCCATCTCTCCCTTCTCTTTCCATCCCCTCTTTCCTCCAACCTTCTCTCTTTCTCTCTTCTCTTATCCTTCTCTTCCATATTCTTCTCCTCCTCCTACTTTATTAAATGTTCTTTTCTTTTTTACTAAACTTTTGGCTTTTCTAATTGGTCACATTGTATTTTTGCCCTTCAAGAATATATTCTTAAAAATGACACATACACTGTGTATATTCAGGATTTTTCAGTAAGAAATTTAAAAATCGACTCTAGGCTTCTTAAGGAGATTTACATTTTATTGTGTTTATTTTGGAGAAGGCAATGTGTTTATTTTCTAGCCTCCAAGTTCCTAAAATGGAGTGAACACTATGTGAACAAACAAACTGGTTTTTTTTTTTTTTTTTTACAAACTGGTTTTTTGTTTCCAGTTTCCCAAAATGTTGTTGGACTTAATTATATATTCATTAATATATATGGTTTTTTTGTAGTGAGTCTATTCATTACTGGCACTGTGATTGTGTATTTATCTATTTGAAAATTTACAAACTAGTTGTTCTTGAAATAAAAAAACCCAAACCAGTTGTTCATCCAGCCCAGAAACCTTATCCTCATGTTTGTCTCAGAGGCATCCTCTAGTGGTGAGTGTGGTTCAGGTCTTCCTGTGGTCCCTGTGACAGATTGCGGGCTGGTCTTATCAAGCAATGTTGCTCAACGTACTAGTTATTAGAGATAAAACACAATACAAACCCAGGTTTACTGTACTGGTCATAGAAGATTTCCATTAGTAGGTTCCAGGTAATGCCTCCATTGACAGAGTATTCTAAAAGAACACCTTGGTTACGGTTGTTTGGTGTGATCAGGCATCCATACATGAAGTAAAACTGGATAAACTCAGCATTCGTGAGGTTTAGATCCACGGTGACCAATAGCCGACTGCAGCCCTAAGAAGCAGAATGCAACAATACGGTGATAAGGAATCATCATGACAGGTTCCAGGTGTTCTCTGGCTTCCATCCTTTCTTTTGTAATACAGCTCACACAGTACTGCAGTAATGATTTTCTTATAATTTCTCCTACTATACTAGCTTCTAGTATGGCCTCTAGTGCACAGTAGGTACATAGCAAACACGCTAAATTTTGAAATTTTAGTATTAGAACTTACAAAGGGCAATGTATTCTAAGGAGATTCTCTTCTGTTTTTTCTAAGCAATAGGAGAGCTGGAATTAAAGTAACTATTCTTTATTTTTCTTAAACTATTTCTAGTTATTTATAGGTATTTGTTAGATTTTTAAAAAGGCATTGGCTATTAACAAAATAGTGCATTGAGATGACTATTTTAATATGAAATTTGAAAATGATGTCTAAAAATACAACTATAATTAGCAATACTAGTTGTAAGCTTTTTAAACTTTTACAGTTGACTTTAATATCTTCTATATTAATTCATTAACATAGATAAGTAGTTGTTTCTTATTAATAGGTGAAACTCTGAGGAAAACTAGGTATCAGAGTTCCATCTAAGTTAATACTAAAGAAGAAACAGTATTGTTAACATTGCATTCTTGACCACTGTTGATGATTATAAAGATTCTGTATGCTGTATGTTCTGTTGCTACTCTTGGGCTAAAATACTAGTACATTTCACTGGCACAAATGCAAACCCTGAGGTAGGGTGTGGTAGGGAAACAAATAACTGACAGTGAATTTGCAATTTTTAAAAATTAAATTTACCTATGAAAGGTTTTAATCATACTACTGGAGAAATTCTACTTTTAAACAAGTCATCTTTGGCAGCAGTGCAGAATGATTATAAAATTTCTCAAAGCAATTTTCTAACATTGCTGTTGTCATTCACAAAATAATCTGCTATAAATACAAATGTCTAAAAATTACTAACAGTTATTCTTGCTTGGGTAAGTTATATAAGGGATTAATTACTGTTAATAAATTCAGGGAACACCAAAGTTCATTTTCTAGATTTGTGGCTCCTTAAATCCCAAATCTGTTGCAAGCTCAGGAATTTTCAATTAGAACATCATCCAGATGGAAGACATTGTGCAAGCTCTCTATCCCAGGGTGGAAACTCATTTAAATCCTTTTTTTTTTTTTTAATGTGTACTTAAATATACCTGTACTGACACCACCTTGCATAATTAAATTGTCAAAACTGATTTGTGACAGGAAAATGTTGAAAATGATAAGCATTTTCTGATTTGTAGAAAGTTGTGAGTTCACATCAGGTTTGTGCATTTAGAGTTTCTAACTCTGCATCTTGATTTGTCGATTAAACTTCAAAAGAGAGTCAGTTTTGGGAGGGGGAGGAACTCAGAGAATGCAGAAGTGAATAAACAGCAACCAAACACTGACCCCACTGAAATGAAGAGCCATTCCTGAAGCCACAGCTCCACACACAGTACTTAATTTCCCTCCATTCACAGTCAGCCAGTTCTGGTTGGATGGGGCCCGATTGAAGTTGTCTTTGAGTTGAGTTGGAAGAGAGGTCTCAGGCTCATCACAGTACAGGCCACCCCACTGCTCATCACAACTGGGAGTGGAGAGAAAAGAAAAGTCAGCATCAAACACAGGTCCTGCAAGTGTGCTCTCAAATTAGTAAGGCCAACTCCTTTTCCTAGTCCAAGATGATGAAAGATTAGTTATCTTCACAGAGTTTGCCGTAATTCAGCTGCTCTCCTTAACAGTGCTTTAGGTTAGAAATAAGCAGTGAATTAACTTCCTCTAGGCTTTCCTAAATTAGTGACTTGGGCTTATAGGTGGAAAGAAAGAAGCAACCTGAAAGAATTCACTAAAGCCCAGTCCCTAGATGACACAGCTCTGGATGGCTGATAAGCAATTGCAGATACCAAACTAACCTAGTTGGTCTTAATAATTTATGAAATCAGGCTTTTTAACAGAGACTTTGGGCCAATCAGGAATTCAAGAGGCCAGGTTCCAAATAGCAAAGGGCACTTTGGATAGCATCTGCCATCTTTGACCACAGGACTGAATTCTCTGTTCAATGTGGGAAGAAATATGAATATAGGACTGGGAAGCTCTGGGGTCGCAGAGGTCATGGTTAATATGTGCTAGAATCATTAATCAAAAGAAAGACTTCCCAGGTGTGCAGAGATTAATGGAGAAGGGAAATGTGAATTCTTTATCAGGATCTTCATTCATACTACCCCATCTAACAGTAGAGTCTTTGAAAATAAAGCACAGAGCCCGTAGTACACAACACACACACACACACAGGCACACACACACACTCTTTAGATCCTTCCAAAGATGCTAAGGCTCTATAAGAGTAAAATCCCAGGTCTCTCCATGAAATACAACTGGCAAATTGATCAGGTATTTATATACTTTCTTATGCAAATAACACAGGAATACCATTCAAACCACAAGTAATGCACATCATTACATATACATTCAGACCTAAGTGAGAAAAATACTTATGATGTATTATTTTCAGTTAGAACATGCTGAACTCTTGAACCTCCTTTAAAATTTTTCTCAAGGCTCAGGTGTATCACAAAAACACAGAAGAAAATAAAACACAGTCAATTATAACTCAGCCTTCTCCTTAAAAGAAAGCTATTGTTCAGTTCCTAATCTCTAACCAAGAATGAAGATTCTATAGCCATAAACGTCATAGTTAGCTCAATGTCAGATTTCAGGAAAAACATATAACTTAAGGCAGTTTGGGAGTGATTAAAAAATCAGTTTCGGAAAAATTCGGCTGGAATGTGAGTCAGGGACTTTCTACAGAAGAAAGAAAAAAACCTACTTACATACAATTTCCTTGGATGCACCTTCCATGGCCACTGCACATATCTATGCAGCCATCCCCGATATAGACATTATCTATTGCCCATGTCTGCTGCTTGTCAAAGGGAGCTGGCTGATGCCAACGGAAACGAGTGGCTTGGGACCTTTGAAGAGAAATAAAATTATAATGAAGGATGTGGTGGACAAAAGAACATGTCCTGGTATGTTTAAACAAGTGCATGGAGGAGTGTAACACAAATGTATGTATACCCTTGCCTGTGTTCTGAGAGTTTTGGTAATGGCAGTGTTCTTTGCCCAACTTCGATTAATAAAACCAAGCCAAATTGAACTGCAATAGCTTGAGAATACATTTTGGGTCAATGATATTTCTGAGCCTTGTAAAAACAGATTAAAACAGAAACTAAAACTAATGCTAAAACCAGTAGCCTCAGGGAGCCAGTGAGCCCTGAATTTTGGGTGGAAACCACTGTGAAGGGACACCAGGTCTGCTGCTAACTTATATTTGCATTTTAGGAAAAGATGCTTGTCCTTAAGCAGCCACAAGCCCTCTGCATTTGACTTGGGGAGAGGGTTTCAACTCCCCCATGCTACCTAAGGCCAGATGCTTTTGTGCAGGGGGCACACTGATAGGCCTCACATAACATTTCGGAGGAATTCTCACAGTGAGAGCCTTAGGAAGACAGTGGGGGTATAAGTCAGAAGGATCAATGAAACCCTAGATAACTAGACAGAAAAAAGAGAGGGTAGTAAGATCAGACTTACTTTATAATGATTTAAATGCAATATAAATAAAACCCAAACAGAGATTCTCCCACTACATACGCAGAAATTTATTTGCTCACTTGCATAGCTTGGGAGGAGTGTCTTGTTCAGAAACACAAATAAACTTACGTGTTTAGAGACACTAGATGGCAGTAAAATCCAAACAATGCCTGAGGCTCAAGTGAGCTTCACCATTCAAAGAGCATGGGGGAAATAATTATCCAAAGCAACTTTTGTTTCATGGATTCATATATTTTTTGTCATTAAGATATGTTAACCACGTGACTGAAAGATATCTGTTTTAGGCAGGACCAAATAGCAAATAGCAAGAATTTAAAATTTTCTAATTGAACTCATATATATTAAATTTGGGCTTTCCAGGTGGTGCTAGTGGTAAAGAACCTGCCTGACAATATAGGAGACCCAAGAGACATGGGTTCAATCCCTGGTTAGGAAAGATTCCCTGTAGAAGGGCATGGCAACCCATTCCACTATTCTTACCTGGAGAATCCCCATGAACAGAGGAGCCTGGCAGGCTTCAGTCCATGGGGTCACATAGAGTTGGACATGACTGAGCGACTTAGTACATATTAAGTTTAGAAAATAGAAAAGAAACAGAACTCAAATCTTCACTCTGAAAATAAATCATTCAGTTTGATATTTCTTTACCGAGCACCTACGCACTCATTTCTTCAAAACCTGTTTCGCCAGCTCCCATCTGTTCCTCTCAGCAGAGAAAAGTCGACCTAAAGCCCTGCTGTCACTTCTTATTGCATTTAACTTCAACTGCAAGCTCCTCCTTGGTCCACGAGGCTCTGCCTGAGCTGAGCCCCCTCCTATACCCCCTTAGCCGCTCTACTTAATTCTGGAGCCTTGCTCATCCTCTCAGCTCACAAGGCTCCCCAAACTCTTGCCTCTCTTCCGCTGGCATGTTTTTCTTTTGTTTCTGCCTGGTTAACCCTTGTATCCTTTAAGTCTTAAAGAAAAGGTCAGGGTCCTCATAGGAAAATATTCTTTCAGAGCCCTTTAAAAATTACATTTCTTCCATAGCAAAAAGTTCTTTTCCTTTCATAGTATTTATAACAATTGTAGTGATATAGTTATTTGCCATACAGTCAAAGGTCCATATAGTTAAAGCTATGGTTTTTCCAGTAGTCATGTATGGATGTGAGAGTTGGACCACAAAGAAGGCTGAAAGCCGAGGAATTTGATGCTTTCAAACTGTGGTGTTGGAGAAGACTCTTGAGAGTCCCTTGGACTGCTAGGAGATCAAACCAGTCAATTCTAAAGGAAATCAACCCTGAATACTCATGGAAGGTCTGATACTGAACTGAAGTTCCAGTACTTTGGCCACCTGATGTGAAGAGCCAACTTATTGGAAAAGACCCTGAAGCTGGGAAAGATAGAAGGTGGGAGGAGAAGGGGATGACAGAGGACTAGATAGTTGGATGGCATCACTGACTCAATGCACAAGAGTTTGAGCAAGCTCTGGGAGTTGGTGATGGACAGGGAAGCCTGACGTGCTGCAGTCCATAGGGTCGCAAAGAGTCGGACACGGCTAAAGTGACTAAACAGCAACATTCCATTGTGTGTGTGTGTATACCATATCTTGTTTATCCATTCATCTGTCAAGGGGCATTTAGTTTGCTTCCGTGTCTTGGTTATTGTAATAGTGCTACAATGGGGTTTGTGTATCTTTTTGAGTTAGAGTTTTCATCTTTTCCAGATATATGCCCAGAAGTACGATAGCTGGATGATACGGTATCTCTATTTTTAGTTTTTTAAGGCATCTCCAAACTGTTTTCCATAGTGGCTGTACCAATTTACATTCCTACTAAGTGCGTGGGAGGGCTCACTTATCTCCACACCCTCTTCAGTATTTATTATTTGTAGACATGATGATGGACATTTTGCCTAGCCCATCACCTTTTATCATAGCTCTTCTTACCTTTTATTAAAAGTGCCTACTTATGCATTATTTCCTCTGTTGGATTGTTTTCCTTATTTATCAGTTTATTGTTGGTGACTCCTGTAGATAGGGCTTCATACCCTCTTACTGAGAGAATGTTAAACTGGTAGCAATAAAGGTGACCAGGAAAATTTGAATAGAAGAAGTCTTGAGAGTAGATGGGCAGGAACTGGGGGTCAGTGGTGGAGGGGGCAGTGATTTGATGACTGCTAAAGTGAGGGAGATCTTCCTAAGAGTTAGGAGATGGCAGAGTTGTGCAGCATGTGGTGGTTTTCTGATCACTCACTGGCTGTGCTGATCACAATCCAGGTAGCCACTTAACAGACTCAGAGAAGATTTAAGAGCCAGATGCACTGTTTGGGTTGATAGTTTTCATGGGGACTTCTGATCATGACACTTTCAGTTTGTACCATTTTGCAGCATTCCACAGAAAAGGAAACAGTAGGATACTATGCATAATATGTGTGAAAATCAGAGTTGGCCAATGAAAGTCAAGATAAATAAGGGCTCTATATTCCCCGGTGGCTCAGACGGTAAGGCGTCTGCCTACAATGTGGGAGACTGGGGTTCAATCCCTCGGTTGGGAAGATCTCTTGGAGAAGGAAATGGCAACCCACTCCAGTATTCTTGCCTGGAAAATCCCATGGATGGAGGAGCCTGGTAGACTACAGTCCATGGGGTCGCAAAGAGTCAGACACGACTGAGCGACTTCACTTTCACTTTATATTCCGGTCCTAGTAAATTCTATGCTCATGGTGAGTAAATTAATGCATGTAAAAAGGTGGTTAAATTAGATGATTTCTAGGGCCCCCATCTCAAATGTGATGATTTTATATTCTTGGAAATAACTGTATCTACCCCGTAAAATGGGTACATACACTGTTCAATATAGTCTTATAAGGAAAGGCAATACTTTCACTAAGGGATGAATTGGAAGGTAAGTCGAAAATGAAATCTGAAAGTTAAACTTCCAGAACTTCTTATTGTCTTGTCATGGCTTCACTATGTAAAGGGGCCAAATCACTTATGGTTACATGCTGACACTTCCCTGTCCGTAAAACTAGGAAAATGCTACTTTCCACCTCACAGTGGTGTTGTGGACATAAATTAGTTCATGTTTATCAAGAATTGAAAGTGTCTTGGTGAAGCCCCTTGGCAGGTGTCATCATTTATCCTGAAGTTTCCTTATAATGATAGCCACCATCGGCTGCTGCTTCTTGGAGTTGTGGGGAAAATGGCCCCGGAGCAGATTTCTCCTTTTGCCACATCCTTGAAAGGCCTCTCCTTGCATCTTTTCTGAATTTATATCATTTCCTCTCCATTTACATCACATAGTAAGTGCTCCATAAGTGTTGCATAATAATTAAACATCCATTGCTAAGCAGTTAAAATGTGATTGTCAATAGCATGTTTTCCATCATTGCTCTTCCAAGGAAACTTTTCCCACACTGTCTACATACCTTTTAATGAATTTTGATAATTATTTCAGAGTCTCTTATTTCTGTTCTTTTCTTCAAAATGGTTATGTCTGCTTATGAAGTCCTGATAAGACTTCACCATCATCATGAAAAAAGTTCTTTGATAGAAACAATACATAATTTTTAATACGCTTTCTCACTCTTCCCTGATGTTTTCTTTACTCTCAGAGATACATAAAATATTTGAGACTAGAAAATATAGCCAATCCTTCAATTCTACTAATGATGATGTTAAAGCCCAGTGCCCCAAGTCATACTGATTTACTCACAAAACCGAGACAAGGCAAGGATCTATCGGTTCATTATTACTCTGTATTCTCAATAAGCAAACTCTTCAAAACTCTATCTCAACCTGCACAAAATAATCCTAGTCCTACCATTATCCCTAGAATAGAACAGTTTTTTATTTGTGGACAGCTGTGCCTGCCTATTGCTGCTGTATACACACACAAGTCTATCCTGACTTCTGCTATTCAATGTCAGAGTTGAAACCTTTGGCACTCTGAGATTGAGTTAGAGGCTCTACAGTGTCTGCCTCATTTCAAAATGTGTCCCATATTTGCCTTGCTAGACAAGACCTTTTCTTTCTGTTGGGCATAAAATTTCCTCCATGACCCTATTTCTCTGTGTTAGACAAAAGTGGAGAAAACTCCAAAGAAGATACATAAATGGCTGATAAATGCATGAAAAGATGTGAAACATTAGTCATTGTGTGCTCAGGAGCTTAAGTCATGTCCAACTCTTTGCAACTCTATGGACTGTAGCCCTCCAGGCTCCTCTGTCCATGGGAATTCTCCAGGCAAGAACACTGGAGTGGGTTGCTATGCCCTCCTCCAGGGGATCTTCCCCACTCAGGGAATAAACCAGTGTGTCTCTTATGTCTCCTGCATTGGCAGATGGGTTCTTTACCACTAGTGTCACCTGCCAAATGCAA